CAGGAACATGAGAACCAGCTGTGTCCTTTTACCTTTTATTTAAAGGTGTCTTTTATAGAAACATGGAGACATGAGCTGAGAGAAAGAAAATATTGTCTTCCTCCTTCAAAATCAAAATCTCCCATTTTCTCTGATTTCAACTAGGAAACAGTATTTACATTTTTTGTTAACAATAGAAATCAATGTTAAAGCAGTATTTAACAGAATTCTAGTTGTTAGCCACATGATAAACTTATTTAACCCACAAATACTGTATGTCCAGAATATAGTAGCCTAGCCAAAAACACAAGCGAAAAGTTTCATTAGCACTACTGAAAATGTAAAATTAAACTGAGTCCATAAAATGAGGTAAAGAAAACCAAATATAGCAGAAAATACATAGTGATTAAAAAAGCTAAATCCATGCATTTGAGACGACACACAAATCTGTTGGTGCCAAAGGAACAAAATATTTGAATCAAATTTTCACCTCTACTCCTCTTATTTTTCTGTACGGTAAAGAACTTAAATTGTACCTGCTACATTTACGAAAACTAGAACAACGTGAATGTAAAGGCAGGCTGCTCCGTGGTCACTCAACTGGAGGAGGATTAAAAGCCAGTGTGAGACCAGTGCAGGTACAACGGTCAACTGCTGACCCATCATTTTCCATACCACAGGGAGCAGCAGTAACTTCACACTGTTTGAACGTGTTGGCCAGGAACCAGCACTGAGGCTAGTAAAGATTTTTAAAAATGGGCCGACACCGTATCTGACCCACATTAAAGGTGGAATTATGTCAGTTAAACAACTATGCTCGCTGCATAATGAACAGAAATAATCCTTGCTGTGTTGTAGTCAAAACTGAGGCTGAACACGGATAAACAAACGCAGCAGCAGAGGGAACAGAAGGTAAACAACCGTGTTAGAGTTGGAGTCGACAGTTTGACTCCCAGTAACCCCGTGTGAGGAGTTTGTGTGCAGACATGTGTTGGTGCACGTTGAGGTTTTTGACTTATTTCTCATCAGGTCTCTTATCAGTGTGAGAGCGCTGAACTGTGGTTACTGTTGTTTCCCCAAAAAACAAACTCTCTCTGTAAATACACGTATGTACAGTATACTGTATAGTATATACAGAAATATTTATACATATGTATATATTTATATACACGTATACATATATACAAGCACACACAGTATACGTGTCAATGTGTCAATATCTAAGCCTTGGTTAAAGTTAGTGGCTTCCAAAGTAGGGGGCGTGGTCTATTGCATGCAGGGTTCAGGCTGGCAAATTCATTTATATTTCAATATTTACTTTAATACTTTAATTGTGACACTGTAGGAGAGCGGTACTGATTCATCATGTCATCACTATGTTAGTTATTGGCTTGGTTCAGTGGAAAAAAGCAGTTTTATGCCACAGCTAGATCTGAGGATGTTTCCACCTCAGCTGTTGTTGATCAGAGCTGCTGCTGCTGCTGCATCACCACAGACGCTGTGATAATGATCAGAGAGGCAGGACAGTACAGTTTGAGGAAGGGTGAGACCACAACAAAAAGTATGACTGTGAAATCTACCCCTGCTGCTTCCACTGTGGGTGGAAACGACCCACAGTGGCTAATCAGGAGCTGTAAGGTCTGCTCAGCTCCAGAGGAGTTTCTGATTGGACGAGTAAACACAAAAACAAGTTTTTTTTCACCCTCGTTTTCTGTTCTATAGCTTTAACAAACAAAACGTTTTCAGGCAAATGTGTCACTTTAGTCTGTGTGATTGTGTGTGTATGTCAACTCACCATGACCTCTTGACCTCCACCTCCCGACCTCTCTATACTCAGGTGTTCATCTGAACCCTTTTGCTTCCTTATCTGAAATAAAAAGAAGAAAAAGAGTGATCATGTTCAGCCCAAATGTATTACATAGCTGTTAGTTTGAGCTATAAGTAAGTAAACTAAGAAAAAAAAAAAAATAGCCATATTTTGTTTGTCTCGCATATGTGTGAAATTACACATATTGTAAAAAAATAAATAAAATAAAAATTGACTTTTGGAATCTGTGAAGCTAATTTACAAGTCATGATATATATAAAAAATTTTGTTTGAATATTTAAACATAAAACCACATTGCACAGAGTCGACACAGTGGGTTTCTGTAACCACAGAGCGTTGGTTTGTTGTGCTATGTAAATGTCTTGTTATTTTATTTACCATTGAACAAAACGAGAACACAATCCACAGCAACCAGCATCGACACAGTAAATGTCCTTTCAAATAAATGTCTACTCTCTAACAAAAGTAAAACAAAAGGCAAAAGACAAAATGTCACAAAAAAAGGAAATTATTTCAGAAGAATGAGGGGGAAAAATGTCACGGCAGGGAACACTTTATCAACATGAGAGAAGAGAAGCTCATTTTCAAAGACATGATGTGAAACTTCGACTGCCTGATTAATGAGTGAATATTTTTAGCCCCTCCGATGGAAGATGACTTCATTTATGAAAATGTGGCAGCTGTATTTGAAGACGAGCGTGTGAATTTAAATATTTAATGTTGCGGGTGTGTGCCGCTGTTCTCCTCAGTGGGTTCGTTAAAAGGGTTACGGAGCTGCACGGCACGTTGTTAATGTTTACATCCTATTTTCTCTTGAGCTGCTGGATTTAATTTAGATTTTCTACATCGTTTTTTTGTTTTTTTTCAGAGCGTGTTTCAAAGGATTGCAGAGGGTACATGAAAGTAGAGGGACAGTGAACTTTTTTTTTTTCAGAGGGCGTTTCAAGGGATTGCAGAGGGTACATGAAATTAGAGGGACTGTGACGTAAAATCTAAAGACTATGAAATAACTAAAAATTACAACAGGAAAAAAGTAAACAAAAAATACTGGAAATTGTTTTTTAAGCAAGGGTTTACATTTATATAAGAAGATACATTTTATATATATGAAAATGCAAAAATTCTTAAAATATTTAATTAATTAAAATGTCTTTAATATACCTTAGCTTTTTTATTTCTACAATTTTAACAAGTTTCTAAAAGGTTTTATAATAATAATAACAACAATTAAAAAATATATTAAGGATAATAACAACAATTAAAAAATATATTATGAGCATTATTAATATCATTCTTGCTGTTGGTTCATTTACCTTGGCGCTGCTGTCCGAGTGTCGTCTGGCGCAGGCCTGAAGCTGAGTGATCCAAAACTGCTGTTCTTTGGCATCAGAAGCTGCATGGACACACAACCAGAATAAAGTCAATTTAATTACAAGACCTGACCTGTGGAGCACAGAAGACACTAAAAATGCCTGTAAAACCTTAGCTCGGAGTTCAGAGTTGGGTCAATGGGCAGTTAAAACATTCATGTTGAAATATCTGCACTGGCAAATGCACAGGCTGGGCAGTGAGAGGCAGGAAATAAAGACGAATTATATAGACAGCAGAGAGTGCGGGCCACAGAGGCTCTGGGAGACTTTTTTCTGTCAAAGAATTCAGACAAAAGCTGGAAGGTTTTGTCTTGGACCGTGGCGTCCACATGGACAAACCTGCTGGACATCGTCTCCTCTGCTGTCAGACGATTATTCCACACGTCTCCTCCTCAACCTGACCATTTGATCCCATCGCCCTCTCGACAGCACTCTCTCCATCTCCATCTCCCTCTCAACGTCAAATTGAACGCTCGGTATTCAACAGACAGCAGCAAATCACTTTCACCAACCTGAGAGCCAAACAGGACACAGTCCAACTGTCCACGCATTCTCTCTGTGACGCAGTGTGAATTGAACAAGGTACAAATTTCACACCTTAAGAGTCTAGTTGACCTAGTTGACCTTGTTCTGGTCAAAGGGTAAAAAACATCCTTCCTTTGCTGTGAAATGTTATAATTTAGTGAGTCTTTCTGCTCCACATCTGATAACAATAGTCCAAAGTGGAAAAATACTGGAATTAGAAACTGAAAATAAAATAGAAAAGTGAATGTACCGGGGGAGTCGGTGCTTCATCAGTTTATTTTAAAAATATAAAAAAATAACCCACATCCACAAAGTGATTTTTGATAAAAAGCTGAATGATCCAAAAAAAAAAAATCAACTTTATTTCTTCTATAGAACTATGATAAGTTTATAAAAAAAACCCAAAGGTTAGCATTTATAAAATGAGCTGCTGGCTTCTCTGCTGACGAGAGATAATTCAAAAACCTCTTTCACCTAGAAGGAGAAAAAAACCACAGTTTCCTTCTTCTTCTTCTTCTCATCATGCAGTCAATTCACTGCCTAGATGAAGAACCTCTAACACGGAGAGTGAGCGAGCAGCTAATGTGATCCTTTTCCACCGCTCTGCTATGATTAAAGATAATTAGTTTTTCTGTATTTCAGCGACGCCGCCTCCACGTGTGCGGCTATGCTAATGTGCACCTGTTGGTGTAGCGATCCATATATGACACAGGCCACTTAGCTCAAAAGTAGACGTGATGTTCTATTTAGGGAGAATATGATCGTGATTAGGAAAAGAAACCAAACGGCAGAAGTATGAGACGGTAACTGAATATCAAACGACTCATTTTGAGGTCTACTTTCTCGATTCTTGCCATTTATTTTATTGCATTTTCTAGGCTATCGCACTCTATTAGTAATTCTATTACTCACTCATTTTACTGGCATTGCTTTACACAATGGTGTTTTGATTTTCATTTATATTTGTTATTTTATTTACATTGTATCTCTATTGATATGTATTTCATATTTATTTATATTTCATACATTTTTCTTACTAAACTCTCAGCAAAACTGGTCAATTTGGGTTTAATTATTTCCAAACAGGACGCAGTGAACACCTCCATTTGTAAGGCGTCCCGACCTCTACTGCGAAATATTGGCATCAGATCCTATTCATGTAAAAATTCTGCAGACACCACACCAGAACCTCCATTGCATCTGAATTATTTTTTCAACCTCTGACACCGAACCCACTTAACGCCTGAAGGTGACTTTAGTGGCTACAACTGCAGGAATGTCACACCTGATCCATCAGGAGCCTCTCAGCCTGGAGGAGGTTTCAGCACAGTGATTGTAATTAGCTGTAATATGAAGGGAGTTTAATGTTATTGGATACAGGGACACGTACGGCTTTACGTTCTGCTGCCGAGCCGAGGTGGAGCAAGGTGGGCAATTTAATCAGGTGTGAACGCTCGGACGGCAAATGAAGCTATTTATCACACGGCACGGTAATGAGACAGTCAGCCAATAGGAGGGTCACGCTGTGTTCAGCAGCTGATTAAGAGGTTTGATGTCATCTGTTGTTGTTGTTATTGTTGTTGTGCAATGAAAAAAAAATTGCACCTAATTTTGTCCAGCGTTTATATGTAGAAATGTGTCTTCATGATTAATTATGATGAGTACAATCATAGGCTTAACAAAACAAAAGCAAAGCCACTCTACTATTATCATACAGACACCACTGACAGCACTGACAGCACTGACAGTACTGGGACCAAACACCAGGCACTGGGACAGTTCAACAGATAAATGCTCTGAATGTTGTAGAGTTGTAGAAAATTTGCCTTAACTATACAGTTACCACGTTGTAATGTAACTTTAACTTTGAGTTTATATTTATTTATATGGTACTTCAACTTCAACTCTAATTTAGCCTAACTTAATATCGAACTTCTAAAGCCAAATCTGAAAAAGTCGTGATTTCAGAACATTTTTAAATATCAATTTGTTTCTGTACATGTTGAGGAACTGCTATAGAAACAGAATTAAAACAAAAGGTCAGTTTGTAACAGAACCTTCCATATCAGTGGGTTCTTGACTGTGTGTTGTTGACTCGGGGACTTGGAATTCTGATTCTAAACCAGCCTGGGTTGTTTAGGGTTTTTTTTTTCTCAGTTAGAAATCTGAGAATAAAAGTGACATTTTGAAGCTCGAGGCAAAGACCGTCTGTAAGATGATATGCTGCGCAGCCTGAAAAACCTTTTTTTTTTTTTACTGAACCTTTCAGTTTCTTCTAAACCTGCAGCACTCCGTAGGTTTGACCAGGAGTTTCCATGGTAACTGTACCAGCTAATCTTAATCAGAGATTATAAGCACTCATACGAGGCTCTTTGTTCCCTGCTGTTGAAGAAAATTGAAGCCTTTCAGTAACAATTGTTTGTTCTTTTCACATTTTCAACTTTCAATTTCAACCTTGTCTCTTCTCTAACGCATCATTGTTTCCTCTGTGCAGACAGCTCAGAAATATAGGCCATGTCATCCTGACACCCTGCCCCCCCCACGCCCTCACCCACCCCCCGAGACCATGAGGGGACATTCCAGCAGCTGAAGCAGAGCAGCAGTAAAATAACAGTCTGTCTCTGTTGCATCAGAGGTTAAAGGGTCACAGAGAGAGCAGGACATCAGCACGGTGACCTGGCTCAGAGAGTCTTAGAGATGTGTCTTTTCTTACTCTTACAGAATTCCAGTTTTACTCCATATTCCTTCCTCAACAAAACTTTAAGACAAAATAAACAAATCAACCCGGATGACAGAACGTTTTCGAAGCTCGAAGCTGAAGGTTGTAGAGTTGAGGATATGATAAACAAATGCCTCTTCCTCTGATCTGCATCAGTGAGGTAGATGTAAAAATAACTGTATTAAATTCAAACTGATGCACATTACTTCATAGATTTTGAAATTTTACAGATAAAATGGTAGAAACTTAGAGGTAGATTTTCTACGCAAACAGACTTTGTACACAGTTATACCAAAGTTTGAACAACCAAGAAAATTCACAGGAAACCTTTTCGACGCTTATGTTTTCAGCTTCAGTTTCACTTTTTTTTTTTACGGTTGACAGCGGTTGCCTCCAGAATAAACATCGACAGTTGTGTAATACGTGAACAGTAAGAAAACAAAAATCAATGAGACACAGAGTCATCCACAACCGGCAATTTAACAACAACAACTACAACAGGCTCCTCTGTCTCCTTTACTATCATGAAATATTGTTCAACTCACAAAGACAGTGCAGGAATTTCATTCATAACCTCCCTCTTACATTAAACACACACACACACCCACAGACGCCCTGCAGTGAGATCCGTGTGTGAGCATCTCCATAACATCAGGTCATACCTCTGAGTTTGTACAGCTCCCCGTTGACAGAGTTGACGACGAACATGTGCGGCGCCTCGTCGCTGGGCGTCACAGAAGCACCAATGAGAGGCAGGGACCCACGAGGCTTCTGGGATTTTCCCTGCTCATTGACAAAATACTGAAGCTGCCCTAGATCTGTGTCCAGGACAAAGTATCTGCAGAGGAGACACAGAGACAGAGGTCAGAACCAGAGAGGGACGTACAGCAGGGAGCGCTAACGTTGTCATCATTTTGTTTTATGCTCTCATTATCTTCTTTACGGCTCCAAACTTTTTTTTAATTCCTCTTTTCACACCAGTATATGCGAGGTAATTCCAAATGGATCGGCCATTAAACAAACAAACCCTGGCGCTTGTTGTTTCCCATCCAATAAAAACCTGTGGATACGTTGCACTGCATAAAACAAACGCACCCGTTTGCCCACATTAGTGTCAGTTTTTAACCAACATGAAGCAACATTAAAGGCCCGCGGTCCAAATGAGTAAAGGCAGCAATTAGTGCCGTCGTGTTTCCCAGAGTCCACAGCTCAAGGCGTGGAAATTAAAGCCCAGCACTTTCTCCTCTTTTCTGATTAATGAATCACATTCAATCAGTGCGTAATTGAATCTCCGCCTCAGTTGGAAGATTTACTGTCATCAGCCTCACACGCACGCACGCAGTGTACACAGACACAGAGAGGATGGAACATTTCATTTCCTGTATCCAGACAGGTTTCAGTGGATGACATTTAAGAAAGTGGACTCAGCCCCGGGGAAGGAAATTAGCTTTTCTAACCAGGGCTTCTGTTTCCCTAAAAATTATTTCAGGGGTATAAGAAACATCTCCAGTGTAATTCTATTAAATACTGTAAAATATATTTGGGCTAACAAGTAGCTATTTCTATATCTTAACTCAACTTTCAGAAAATGTTTTTAAAAATTTAAAAACACAAACAACTTCATCTATTCCTGAGTTGCCTATGTTGTCTCTTTCTGTGAACTGGTTCTCTTCATGCTAACTTATTTGGCTACATATAAGCTATATCTGCATTCAACTTTAGCAAATTCATGGTGGAAATGTATTTACTTTGATATTTGTAAAGTTGACCGTTTACCGTTTACTGTGCGACATGTATAAAAAAGATTAAATGGTCATTACCTACTTAGGTTGTATTTACTTTGATATTTGTAAAGTTGCTTTAAGCTTTTTGGTAGCCTTGTAGCTAACTGTTTGCAAAATTTAACAGCCATAACTGAGCAAGGTGCAGGGGATTTTGCCACAAATAATTCTAAAAAAACAAAACAAAAAACAAAAACTTTGTTCTGGTCCTGCACTACACACCATGGCCACTAGGCTGATGACCTGTTGTCTAGAACCCTATAACCAGGGGCCTGAAGTCTAAAACTGTCTCCTTTGTCCATGACTTTTTTACGGTCGAACTCACAGCCCCCGCCCCTGACCTTGTTCCTACCGAGATGACACATTTCAACAATCAATATTCCTCTTTCATACACGATTAAAGAAGCCATAGTATTGATCAGGCTGTTATCGAGCGACTTCACCCTTAGACACAGCTGTTACTCCCTCCTATCACCACACCGAGGCTGCCAGCGACTTCACCCTTAGACACAGCTGTTGCTCCCTCCTATCACCACACCGAGGCTTCCATGTGTGTGTGTGTGTGAGATAATTCAGGAGAAACAGGTTCAAAAAGTAATTGTGACGGATCATTAATAAAATAAGGTTTTACTTTTAATCCAAGAAATTTAACCTTGAAATTGAACCATTTTAGCTTTGTTTTTATAAATACTTAAGAAGCAGTAATAAAACATTTTAAACTAACAGAGATATTTTTATTTTTGTACTCCTTCTGTGCTGTTGCTGCTCCTTTACGGTGTCACCACAGCCGTTCCTCTTCCTCCCTCTCAGTGGATCTCCTGCCTCTCTCTACAGTTACATCAACCAGTCAGAGACACCAGCATCTTTACATAGATTTTTTTAACCCTAACTCCAACAAAACCACACACCCTATCACCTATGTATTTTATCTCAATACCCGAGTTATTTCAATAAAAAAAATACTGAACCCCTGAGACGGCTAATGACAGACGAAACCAAACTGAGAAGGGAGCATCCTTCACACTACAGCGGTCCGCTGTATCCCATGAACCCTCTGGAGATCAGTGCAGAGGATGCAGTCCATGCTGCCGTCTGAAAATTGATCCCTCACTCTGAGACTTCCGTCCTTCCATCAGGAGAGCTGGTGATTTATGTCGACCACAGGCGACCAGGGAACAGTCTGCCTGCGTCAGTTTTTATCCAGACCTCTGTTATTCTCTCTCTTATCACAAACCATGGACACACACACATACACACAGTGTTCTGTTATATGAGATTTTACCCGTGTTTAGTCAGCAGTTACTGTCGACCCCCTCCAGGTACCTGTTAAACCATAATGCAGACCCTTAGCCATGATGGATGAAGGTTGAGAACAACACCTGGACTCAACATCCAGTGGTGTCAAAACTGTGCTGACACTAACTGAACCTGCAGAATCAACTCTTAACCTTTAGAAACACAGTGCTGCAGAACATAGATGGCTAATGATGGAGTGACGCAACAGCCGTAACAGCTTGGCAGCAGCTTCACTGCGTTTGTGACTCCACTTAAAGTGGAAACGGTAAATCTGATATCGGCTCGAGTGGATTTCCTCTGAGACACTGAGTAAAATGAAGGACTGTGAACTGATATTTCTGGTATTACGATTTTGACTCACTAGCTAACTTACCAACAGCTAACATTCTAATTTGAAATAGCCTTATACTAAGAGGCTCCTATTGTAGCAGACTCAGATGTATTTGTCTGAAATAAAGGAATTAACAGCTCAAAAACCTCAAAGATAAAGATAATACGACCCAGGTCTTATCTAATTATGCATGCAAGGATACTGAGAGTAATGAATTACCATGATCATGTCTATCGTCACTAGCCCCTGATGCTAAAATACCTCTGGATTGCCTGCACCTAGAGTCAGTTTCCTGTATCACAGATCCTAGTCTTTGACTTTAACACTATGATTCATCCACTCAAAACCAGTGAACCTTCTCACACTGTCCATTTCCTTTTCTCTGATTTAATTTAAATAAATTACCACCATTATCCATAATAACCTGAAAGGGAAAAAAAAACCTAACTCCAGCACCTTTCGTTTGACTTTAACACTATGATTCATCCACTCAAAACCAGTGAACCTTCTCACACTGTCCATTTCCTTTTCTCTGATTTAATTTAAATAAATTACCACCATTATCCATAATAACCTGAAAGAAAAAAAAAAAAACCCTAACTCCAGCACCTTTCACCCAGATCAAGAGACACACTAATGACATTAACACGGCTGCTGCGGGCTGGTCAGCATAAACTCAGCACCGAGTCCCTGCTCTTTTGGACATTAATCGTCAACAATGTTCAGAGGAAAATCAGAGCGGGAAGAAAACAGTAAATCACACCGGTTATTGGCAGCCGGTGTGGCTGAGAAACTGTGTAAAACTGCAGCGTCTCCGCGGGGTGATGTAACCCACTGTTTTATTAACGCACGTGAAGATTAAAGTGGCATGGAAGTAACATTTCATCTCTCAGATACCCGGCAGACAAAGGCTCCGTCCACTAATGGTGTGGAAATTAATCTTTCCCATAATGCATCGTAAAGCGGACATGGACATAAATGCATTCATGCATGGGCCCTCCATAATAATCATTTTGTTTTATGAGGAGCGCCATTTCCAAATCAATAATTTAGGGAGAAAGCTTGGCTTATGCTTTGTATTTAATGGGATGATATTAATTATACGCCAAACTAGGGAAGGACCAATTAGTGCTTTGGCACTCTGAGTCAAAGTTTAAATCCCAACCAATGAGGCATGATTACTAAAAATATATATATATATGGTTAGTGACATTAGCAACTTTAATGAATTAAAGTTTCTTATTCATTAATATTAATGACAAATAATTTAGTCCTGCAAAACTGACAGGAAAAGTCAAATATGCTCAGGACAGTACTTTTTTTTAAAGTTTATATGTCACATTTTATGTTGGGTTTTTACTATTGTTAAGCTGTTTGTTAACAAAAGGTCATCAGAACATCTACAGAAGGCTTATGTAAATCTAGGACTGTTAAAATGGAAGTGTTAAACCTTGTAATTATATTGTGAATATTTGTTTAATTCTAGTTCTGCATTTTAGTTTCATTTTTCCATATTAATAATTCCAGCGCTAGGATTAGTCAGACATAAAAACATTTACCTTCTGTTATTTGTCTCTTTTTAGAGTTTAGAGAAATCCCCAAACACAAACGCCCCCCACTGACACAGACATGCAATTACAGCTCTTTATATACAGCACGTGTAGCTTTAAATCCATTGAGTTTAGGCTGAACACGTCTAAATATCCAAACGTCCACGTTTCTCCAAACTCAACCGTACATGCAGCACCTGAACAGCACTTCTCCCCGACACATGCCAACCCACACAGTGACAGAATTAGCTCCACACAGGTCTGCGCTGCTCACCGCGACACCACCTGCCGCGCACTCAACGCCGTCTCCCGTGTGACTGATGACTGTTATTAATCCATCAATGACACACTCCAGCCTCTCTGAAAAGTCTCTCTACATAAGCTGTGTTAGCACGTCGTCCTCGCCCTTAACACACATCTGATCTGGTATCACAGCTTTCTTTTTCTTTTTTTTTTTTTTGTTCCAGGCCACATATTCAGGACACTTCAGTCGATACTCACAATCTGTGATACACCCCGACTCCAGCTCCAGGCCCCGGTTTCAGCTCTGCTCAATGAACTGAATGCAATCTCCCTGAAAGCCAGTCTTTTGCCTTTAGGCACTCTGAAATTGAAATAGAATCGGCTCCATCGCAGAGGTTAAGCTAATCCTGCACAAAACACACGGCAAAGTGTGTTTGCCTTCTTCCTGTGCGAAAATAAGCTACAAACAACAAATCCCACATGGATAACACAGACACGAGCTTTTCTTTTTCTTTTTTTTTTTCAGCACTGACTCACTTTTTTCACTCTGTGAGATAAACATGGAAGTTTTAGATGTGGATATACCACTGGGAGCATCCTCAGTTCCACCTCCACCTGTCTCACTTATATTGGCTTCCAGCCCAGAATCAGGCACAACTTTCACCTCAGCTAATTCCCTGCTGCACCATGTCAATAAAAGTAGCACAGAATTATTTTTGCTCATGGATAAAGAAAAAAAGGGGGGAAAAATGATCCATATTATTTTTGCTCATGGATAAAGAAAAAAGGGGGGGCGGGATGATCCATGCAACAAATGCAACAAATATAAATCCAGCAAAAACCCCATAGAATTCTGGATAAAAGTTCTGCAAAACTGAAAATAATTCTGAAAAAAAAAACAACCCCAAACCAACTACCACATGGTTTCATGGTTGGCTGACAAGGAGAGCAAAAACAAGGCCAGAGCTGTCACTCCCAGAGACTGGGTCAGGACCCGAAGACAAGCAGCAGGAGATATTTCCAGAGTGGCAGAAACAAATGGTAGACTTTTTTTTTCTTTTTTTTTTTAGCCCTTTGCTTTGTGTAATGTTTCTTCTTCCTTGTCATTCTGTCAGGTAAATACAAGTGGGGGGAAAAAAAACACTTTTAGATGTGATCCTTGGCAGGAGTATTTAAATAACTGACACCAGAAGACAGACAACTTCTTCTGTCCTTCACTTCTCTCCCTACTCCTTTTTTCTCTACACATGCTGATATGCAATCATCAAAAGAACCATTCAGAGCAGAACATTCGAAACTGTAACTCTCACAGTTAATGTGTATCAGAACCTTATCTCAACATGGATACAGTTTGAGTAACACCCATAAACTGAAGGGGATTTTCTTTTTTTAAAGCCTAGCTTCCTTGAATTTCTTAAGTCTGTCACACACCCAGCAGCAAAAGAAGAATCTATTTGCTTAGCAGGTAAAACTGCAGTAAAACTTTGCCCATGGCATAACATTTTCTAAACTTTGCTTTATAATTTGAATAGAAACAGACAAATGTAGTAAAATAAATACTACCACACTGGGTTTAAAACAACACTGCACTGCTGCCGTCACAACAATCGACACTCTGGTGTTCTGTCCTTCATTAGCAGCTAAAGATCTGACGACAACGGGTACTGTTATATGTGCGCAGATCAATACAATAAACCAATGGAACACAGCAGCAGCCTGAGGCCGTGGGCACAGAGCAGGGAGTTGAAGTCTATAGCATTTTATTAGGTTGATCAGCACCGCTGTGAAAATTCTACCACCTCTGTCATGTAGTACATTTAAGGATGAGTCAAAAATATTTCAGCTACAAAATGTTATTTAAATTATTCAGCAACACATAAACATGTGAGCAGAAGATTAATAAATCATAATAAATAATTATTGATTCTAGCTCTAATTAAAACTATTACTCTTCGCTGACACACGGTGGTACAGTTTAATTTTTTTTATATTCTCCAAATGTTTGACATTTATTTGAGGTCCACATTGACCACGATTAATAATTCAGCTCACAGACTGAGTCCGGCAGTCTCTGCAGGACACAGGAGTGGACGTGGTATAAATGTATCTGTACATTGAGGTCCAACATTGATAATATAGGTTTCACTCAAGTCTATTTTTAGTCCTTTAGTCTTTTAGTCAATTTCAAGTTAGTCTAATATGTTGGCTGTTAGAAAAAAGTTAACAACAAAGATACACTACCCTGTGTAATTCATATTTAGTATTTTAAATGATAATGACTATACATGCAGGAGTTAGTTTTCTGGGAAAAGCACTGAGAATTTGGCTTTCCCTAATGGTAACTTAAAAACCCTGATTGACAACACTTCCTTCAGCTCACATTGTTAGCCTAAGCGCTACTACCAAGGGCTAAATTTGTAGAGATGCTCTGCTGTGAGGATATTAGCCAAACCAACAGAGGGGAATATTCAGCAGGTCAAAGGCCAAACACCGGAATCAGGGGTTGGTGGAGGTCAAAGATGTGGATCAGGCTGTGATAAACACCAGCCTGGGTAAATGCTAACCTTACTGAACGGAACTGTTTTAAACTGGATCCCAGACACAGGTACGAGTGATGACTGATTTACAAGTCAAGTTCTGAGATGTTTGCTGTTCCCTCTGAAGTACTGACACACGGTATATGTCTACAGACACAGATGTTTCCTCGTCTCCTTTGACCTCCAGCAGTCGTCTCACTGTTTCATCAACATGAACACAACTCTGTCAAACGCACGTGGTTTCTGCAGCTTGAGCCAAAAATTCAATTTTTTTAAGACTTTCACTGCCATTTAGAACACAGTTAAAGCCCAATATGACTGTTAACAGTTATTGGTTTATTTGCCTTGAAACATAAGAACTTTACAGTAATTTGGAATTTTTTTCTGGATCTCAATGAGTTGAGACGCTAAGCTAAACTTTAGTTATTTTATTGCCCAGTTTAGCTAGTTTTGGCCAAGCTTTTCCTTTCGTTTTGTGTCTTCTAACTTTGTCTTGTATTATGCAACTTAAAATACAAATGAAATGAGGTGTTGAAAACTGGATGGTTTACTCTCAACTACAGTTACAGTTTAAAAATGGACTCACTTTGCATGGAATAAATGTGTTAAAATGTCAAACATGATTTAAATAAAGCCCTCAGTGACATTAGTGCGTTGTTTGTTTGCTTTTAACCCTCCCTCTCTCTCTCTTTCTCCCCCTTCAGGAAAAAGTTTGGACAGCCCCTGATCCAAATCCTTCACAGCGACGTGGTGGTAAAAGTGCAACGTGGACGAAGCAAAACAGCAGTGACACACAAACACCGTGAAGTGGATCGTGTTCCCCCATGTTCTGTGCTGTTCTGTGCTGTTCTCTCTTACCTGTTCTGCCAGCCTTGGATCAGGTTGGTGTATTTGCTCAGCACTCCTTCCAACTGCTTCCTGCGCTGCTGCAGCTGCTGCTGGGGAAAATTCATGCTGTTTCCCAACACTGCTCCTCGCTTGCTGCTGCCTCCTCCTCCTCCTCCTCCACCTCCTGCTGCTCCGACCGGGCCGCACACAGAACCAGAACCAGCTGTGGGACTGTTAGATCCAGTCCGACCGACGACTGTCTTCCTGGAAGATGAGCTCCCACGCTCCGTGGAGGGTGAGTTTGTTTTGTTGGAGCCGTGGCACGGACTGTAGACAGACTTGTCCATCCTGGCTACCGGACGGCGGAGAGGACCAGGACCAGGAGGAGGAGGAGGAGGAGTAAGGAGGTGGAGACAAGGATGGACCACACACTCCAGGGGCTGTAGCAGGAGCAGCGGAGGTGAAGGTTGGTGATGGTGATGGATTTTCAGAAGACCATAAGTATGAGCCAGGATCTGCAGAACTAAATGAGAGGACGCAGATGCGCAGTGACTGCGCTGCGCCTTTGGCCTCAGAGTCGCTGTGTGCGTGGGCAGCTGAAGATGAAGAAAAGGAATAAAGCTGACATGATGTTTCCCCCTCCTGCCGACTCCGTCCAGGAGGAGTGTGTGAAGCTCCTGCTCCTCCTGCTCCACTCTTTTCCTGGTGGGAAGGACGGAGCGGAGCTGAGCAGACACTCCCTCTCTGCTCTGGTCCTGCCCCCGGATGTTACACCGCAGCGCTGCTCAAATAAAGGAGCACACGCCTCAACCTGAACTTCACAAAAATACAACAAAAACTGGGACACGTGATTGCATGGTCACTCGAATGTCTGTTGAACAAGCTCAAGACAGTAATAATAATAATAATAATAAAGACATACCTGCAGGATACTTTCGACAGTGGCAAAAAAATCCTTTAATTTGGCTCATGTTAAAGATCTATGAAGTTAGGAGTCTATGTTTAAAAGTTCTAAAGCAGAGGTTATCACTTCAAGAAGAAACTTCAAGTTTTTTTTCTTCTTTACCCAAAGCTGAAAGATTTGAAAGGGTTATCACTTCAAGAAGAAACTTCAAGAAAGTTTTTTTTTCTTCTTTACCCAAAGCTGAGAGATTTAAAACCTGTCCTCAGATGAGGCAAAGAAACAAGTGTTGCGAAAGACATTCTCAAGAATTGTTTTTCAACCTCACATGGAAGGAGAAAAAAAATGATTCAGTGATGTCATCATCTACAGTTATAGTGAGAAGACAGGGAGAGGCACAAAGCCCAAAGGACATTGTCCCCAAGTTAAATATCGGTGGTCCACCTATGAATCCTTTAATGCAATCATAAGAGGCTAATGAGGTCGAAAGAAGACCACGAGAAGTACATTTCATGCCAAGGTAATTATATCTCTGCTCACACATGGACGCATCAGAACGGTCAGGAGGAGATGGACACGTTAATGAACAGCAAACCCTTATTTGTCCAGCGCAATTCAAGGCATGAATCTCCACATGACACTTAAAAGATCAGGGATAGATTCCCGCTGCTTGTCAGTTGAGGCGGCCACAAAGCAAAAATCAATAAGACAGAGTAAAGAAAGAAAGAAAGAATCAAGAAAGGTTTGTTGAAAGGCTGCACTGAAGGAGTCGGGTCCAGGTCAGCTGCACTGCATTGTGGGAGGTCACAGCAGATGGACTCAGCCGCAGCCTTTTCTAGTAGGAAAACACTTTAAATTATTATTGGATACAAAATAATAATTTATGCTCATTTTTGTCATACATTTATATAAATATATATATATACACACCAAATAATGTTGTGCATTAGACATTGCTCTTCTCTGGACCTTGCAATTTTTTCCTCCTCTTTCATCATGTCTTCTCCATCATTATCCCGGTCAAAGCTTTGGAACCAGCTTTCATCATTCCTGCCTCAGTCCTCGTCATTATGATTTAAGAGCGGGAAAAACTCCTCCTGCTGCTGCTGCAAATTATTGGGGAGTTAAAACGGGTGTTTCCTCGCGTTGAACCTGCAAAATAATGAAAACATAATGAAAGAAGTTATTCTCCAGAGGAGTCTGTTGATGCATGTCCACTTCACACTCCACATCAAGTCTATCACCGTTCCACAGTCCTGCGTCTCAGCCCTTCAGGCTCCCCTGTCGCTTTTCTGCTACTGAGCATTGCCGCTACGTCAGCTGCAGATGTCAGTTTATTTGGTAGTACTGTATGTCACATGGGTGAATTTTTTTTTTAAGTGCTGGTGGCAGTGCATTGCCAGTCTGCATAATCGTTTCTGACTGAAATAAAACACTTTACTTCTTCTGCTGCGAGCTCTAGGAATTCAACCGGAGAATTTGACATTGAAACGACAAAGTCGGGACCATGCGCAACACCGTAATGGACCACCAGGGTGCCGCAGACCACCAGTTTATTCCTATTGTACTTGTCAAAATTTCCTTGGTTCCAGATTCAAAACTGTAGGCTGTGAAAAAGAGTGTGGGGGCTTGATCTAACATCTATGGAATGAGGATTAAAAAAAAAATTGAAAAAAAAAAAAGCAAATATTGTTTTTATATGTGTGTTGGATAAGAACAACGTGATGCAAGCAAAGCAGCACTCTTTCGTCCAGCACGTTTCTGGCATTTTCCAAGTCGGACAACCTTTTCAGAAAGTAATTGGTGATTGATTGAGTGACTCAGTGATGGGGGAAAAAAGCCTTTGACTCAGCTTTGGCGCTACGTGAAAAGGTTCTCATTGATCCTCCACCTCATTCCAATGGAGTATTTCACTCAACTTAACACTTTGCAGTTTTAAGCACATCCTTGATTTCCTGATAACTTTTCACAAAGTGACAAAAAGGAGGGTTTCCACTGAAACAGTGAGTCGGGGAGACAATCATTGCTAAGTGACAGCATATTTCTAAAGGTCATTCAGGAAACTACAGAGTGGCAGGGTTCATCACAGAGCTGATGTCAGCATTTAAATGGGGCTGGGTGAATTTCATCACATCTTATCAGCGTTTGTCCTTGTCTCTGACAGATACTGAACTCGACTCACTACTGTGGCTCAATCTATTTTTACTTGGTGATTCCAAAAACCTTTATCCAGAGTTTTGTCATTATTCTGCTGCCTTCACAGAGAAGACCTGGATAAGATAAGGATTAGGAATTGTCCAATAACTGGTCCTTGGAGCTGATTGTGAAGCCTGGGATTCTTTTGGCTGAATTTTTAACGTTGCGTAAGATGGAGCTGAAGTACAATATTTTATTTTTCACAACACATTTTTGAAACTTCTATGATTTTCAGTGGACATTTTGATCGCTCCTTGGCTGAACGTAAGCAAGGTTTCCTATTGTTTTTTGCTACTGACTAATATAAATTTTCGCTCCATATGTTTTGCCTTTTAGAACCTATTTAAACTAATGGGTAGCTATATATGGGCTTGTGTATTTAAATATTTATTTGTAATTGTTTTTTGGCCACTTTAGTTAGCTTTTGTGGCATATTTCTTTTTGGGAAAATGTCTAGGTAAAAGCGTTGCTACCACTCTTTGTTATTTTAAACGACCCCTGAAGAATTATTTGTATCTGACTTTACTCTGTCAAAGCTATTTATTCTAGTCCTTGAAGAAGTCCTTGAAAAGAATTGGGACATCCCTGGACTGACATCTCACCAGGCCCTGGGTTTTCTTTTCAACAGCCAGCGTACATGATTCAGTGATTTCACTGCAGTGCAGTCTTTGAAATGTTGTTGTTGGCTCAGACTGGCTGCAACTTCTCTTTGAGTTTATTTAATTTCTGCCTCATTTCACTCTGTATAAATGACATGTGACGATGTCTGATTTGCCAAAAGCCTGAATTATTCATAAAGACCTGAAACCTTGCCAATAACTCTTTGGCAATAACTACTTAATGGACTGGAGGAAGGGTTTCTGTGGTGAACTAAGGAACATCTAAGGCATTTGGTACTGATTTCAGAACCAGCTGTCCTACTGCAGCAGAGGTCAAAACCTGCGACAGTTGAAATACATAGAAGTCAATGCAAAGTGAATTTTACAAATACCCTGCAACGAACGACCCACAAAAAGTAACTATACCACGTATGACACCGAGCACCATCAGATTCTGGAGCTGTACACCACTGACAGTACCATCACAAAACTTGAACACCTTTTGGAACTTTACGAGACATTTCACTTTCAAGCCAGCAGAAACGTCTTTAGTGACAAAATCTCAGTTAATGTCAGCACAAAAAACAGCTGCAGATAAACACATGCTGATAGACATCAACATTATAATATTTTTTTTCTTAGTGGAATTTAATCATACAATTAAAAGGTTGCAATTTGTCTGTTTTATCCCAAAGTGGAGAAATATGACTTTTGAAGTTGTTGCAAATTTTTTTTCCTCTATTGAATCAGCTCTAAAAGCATAAACACATGATATGACATGGACAGATCTGTTCACTGTCACCAACGTCCTCTGGAGGTTTAATTACCGTATTTCAATATTAAACAGAAGCAGCAAAACTCGAAGAATTAGTACTGTAATATTTATGTAGCTGAAACTTTATTTTTTACTTTTTTAAAAATTAATTTTATTGTTTTAATATTACTTTACTCATGTGCTTATTTACCCCTAATGTACTGGTTGACCTTATCATTACCCGGTCATAATCACGTTGACTTTTAAAAGCAGTTTGTTGAAGCTCATTTTTGACACAGTGAGGACAGTTATTTCCCTGAAGCTCATGTCTTTTTTCTGTGATAGAAATGACACAGTTTTCCTTTTATTTTGCAGTGTCACTGCTCACAACACTAATATCCTGTTTCATAGAAACAGGAAACACACACACACAAGCAATCAGCATGAACACACACACATGCCCAGACACTCTGGCATCACTGTTTCTCCTTAATCATATCTAATACTTTGAGCACACTTTTAAAACTGCACTTAACTTAATGACTTAACTTAATGGACAAGCATCAAAGCGGCTCCGAGGCCAAATCAACTCCTCCACAGACTAATTAATAATTAATTCAGACTAGTATTATTGCAGTTGCCCTGGTGTAATATGGATGCATCAAAACTGCACTTCAATGTATTCACACGACACAAAATTAAATGCACACACGACTCCCAAAACAATGATTCACACCTACAGCGACAGAGACACCTGCTGGACACTATCACGAAGTGATACACAATTATGCTAATATATAATATAATTAATAATAATAAAAAATAATGATAATATATATTATATCAGGCCGATATTATCAGACATCCCTAGTATACATAATAAAGATTTCCTGTTCATTTATACTCCATATTCCACCACGATTCTTCTCTGGGTCAGACCACAGAGAGATGATAGGAATTATACTATATGTGCGCTGTGTGTGTGTGCGCACGCCAACTGTCTTAATGTAAAGATTCTCAACAATGCAGCTCATCAGTATTCTGAAGAGACCAGAGATCTGCCTGGGAGATTGAAGCTCTGTGAAGGAAGTGCAGCCATACCCACACTCAAGGACATTACATTAGCATTGATTGTCTTCGTCTCCAGTCAGTGTGACAGGAGAAGAGAACCGGGTCGGACGTACGGACCGCATGTGTTCAGTCTGTTCCACCAATAACAATAACTATAACAATAACGTCGATGGTAATGACGCCATTAATCATTCATACCTTCATTGATTTTCCTATAGGTTGGTCCAGGACGTGTTTAATGAGTGTGTTTTATTTGGTACGTACTCAACAATAGTGAATAATGAACAACAGCGAAAAATAGACACACATTGACTAAAATTAATGGAGACTCGAGGCGGCTGGGGAGTAAAGATATTAGGATAAGTTAATCTATCTCTACATTCATTCATCATTTAGAGCCTAATCCTCTTTAGTGTCTCAGTGGTGGTCCCAGCCAACACCAGACCCCATGGACAGGTCACCACTGCACCACAGGGCCACAAAAAGATAAACAACCATTCACTCTCACATTTACATCCATGGATCATTTTAGCTGTCCAGTCCAACTATCCAGGTATAAAGTACAGAAGTCATATCAATAGTACAATTTAGTTATAGTTATTAATAGTAGTTGTAGTAAAAAACAATAGTATAGGAAAAGTTATAGCCGTGTTGGTAACAAAAACTGTAGCAGCAGATCAGTTGCAGTATTTTACAAGGGAGTGGTAGTCATGCCGTACAATGTAGGAGTAATATAGGAGTAGCAGTATATTTTCTTTTACTTCGAACAGTACTTGTCTTACTAAAGGTTAGAGGATGTACTGCATAGCAAAGGTAGGGTTAGAAATCCCAAGAACTACACTTCCCAGAATACCACAGGGTTTTTAAGTTCAACCGACGCTGTATTCGGGTGTGTAGTTCTACTGCCACCTAGCGTCTGAGGGTGGAAAGTTAAAGGAAACGTGTTCTGTGGTGACACAGTCCACGCTACCATGAAGAAGAGAGCCTCATCCACACCATCAGCAGCAGCAGCAGCAGCAGCAGCAGCCGCGGCAGAGATGTAGAGCCGGATAAGAAGATAATGAGTCTCTGCTGCCACCACCACCTCCATCACCATGTTCCCGGGAGTTTTCTATGCACTGTTGGCTGGTTTTCTCGGGGCCGTGGCGTCGTCGTCGGCCAAACTGTCCCTGGGAGCGGACTACCTGAAGGGAGTATGTGAAACCGGACTCCGGACGTGGGGAGAGCAGCGGAAATTTAGACAAGCGGACGAAACTACCACCTGTGACCGGGTGAGGCGTCGTCTCAGTGTCTGTAAAATATTAACGCGGGTGCATGAATATGGATGATGTAGCAGAGAGGCGCACGCTTCACTCCCCTGACTCCCTCAGCATCAGCAGCACCATGCTGTGCTGCTGATGCTGAATGACATTGCAGCTCCTTCGCCCCCTAGTGTGATTCGTGTGCATGTGTGTTCTCGCGTTATGTCGTAGTGTATAATGATGGGTCAGGTTTCTGGTGTGACCTTCACTGTGATGTCACAGAATTCTGCGGACACGAGCTGCTGCTGCTGCTGCGTGAGTGAAGCCTACGACAGTTAAAACATCAACCAGAGACCCCCGAGTCTGGAGGATAATAAAACTGATCATTTAAGATTCTAAAATTGTTCATTTCTTACCGATTTTAGACTCTAGTATTATGTAATTACCAGCTACTGACTTGTGTGATTTAGTGTTACTTACCAGTGTTGGGGTCGTCCTCCATACAGGGTCACACATTAGCAGAAGTGTGGATCCGAATGGCTCTAAAACAACAGAAATGTCCTTTAGAATTGTCATAATGTGAGTAAACTTTTGCAACGTTTATCCAATCTTATGACAGACAACTTGTACGACTTTACTCTTATACATCAACTTAATGCTTGGTCCTAGAGATCGCTGTCTTTTTTTATTACGTTTGAAAAATACGCGATAATAAGTTCTCTAGCTTCACCACTAGGGGGTGCCATTAATCAGATTGAAGACAACTGACCTTAGTTTCAGTGTTGGACTGCTACTGTGTGTCTCTTCCAGCTCCACATCCCTCTGAGGCTGCTGTGTGGTGGCCTCCTCTTCACCTGCAACGCTGTGATGTGGACCTTCCTTGACAAAGCACTCAGGTATTCCTCCTCCTCCACCCGAACCACTGTGACCACCACCGCCTCCAACTTCATATCCTCTGTAAGTAACAAGCATTTCCCTTCATGTGTTTGCCCCCTTTCTCATACACAGACCCCCTGCCTGTACATTCTGTGCTGTACGTTTGACACGAGCCTGCAGCGCCACAGTGTAGGTTGACCCCAGTTTCACGACGACTTCACATCGTCTCGTCCCTACATAAGCACTTTTATTTTAGGAAGTAGGTTGGACCATTTTCTGTAAGGCGAGTTCTCGCAGTGATTAAGAAGTTCTCCTTCTCGTGTCACATGTTTTTTTCCCCCCCAAAGTTCCTCAACAACGCACAGACTTACTTACTTAGCTCCAGAGTCTTCAAGTCTACCAACACTTTTCTCCATCCCTGCAGGCTTTCTTGGGTCAGCTGATCTTTGGCGAAGCCCAGATCACATTGTGGTGGGTCGGGATCTCCTTGACCTTCTCTGGTCTGTTGGTCCTGCAGAGAGTTTCGCCACATGACGGACAGCAGAGCGCAGCAGACGCAGCAGCGGCAGCAGACGCGGCAGCTGCAATGGACAGAAAGAATGACTAACATGTCGCGTCTCCACTAGTTCAGACCAGACGGGGGCAGCTATTAACACTCATCCAAATGAAGTAAAACTATTAACACAGCAGTTAAGTGCACTTAATATGTACTTACAATTTTAACTATAAGAGGTCTGTGTTGAGGTACATAGACGTATCCCATTTGGAATCAGCAGCTGTACATCCTACCGAGTCTGCATGTCTCAGATGTGATGCATCATGGGTCTGGAGATGCTGGTTCAGGCTGGTGGAGACGAGACAGAAAATGTCCAGGTATCATTACTTCCTTCACAGACAATGAAGCAAAAACTTGATTCAAGCTTTACAAACACTGCATCCTGAAAACTGTACACTCTGCAACAGCACAACTCGTGAGGAACATTAGGAGATGATAACGATGAAATAGGAGAAGGAACTGAGTTAGATGAGAACACTAGCTAAAGGGCCTGAGTGAATACTGACAGACTGATATCAATCGTTTTTTGGTTTTTATCATTACCTCGCATCAGTCAGTGCAGTAGCAGCTCAACAAAGCTTGTGCTAAACCCACTGTAAAGACATCATACGTTTACATTCCATTGTCTGCATGCTGCAGGTGAAGAGCTAACAGAAGTACAGTAATAATCCCACTGATGTAGCAGTCAACCGCTAATCCCTGGTCACCTCCCTCCTTTCCCTGGGGACTTCCTTTCACTTTCTCCACGCTGACCTTCAGATATTAGCACGACACGCTCTCAGAGACAGCTGGTCTTCCATGACATGCTGGACACGTGTGTGTTCCTATCGTACCGACACACCAAAGCCTGCTGCAGCACTTCATACGAGAGTGATGTCTCTATGAGCTGCATCTCATTTTTATTAAATCTGTGATTACAGTGGCAGGACAAGCCGTCCCTCGGGTGTCACTGTCCTTTCTTTTAACGCTGTCGTGCACTGCATTTTCAATATGAGTCGTAAATATCCGTCCCTTATCATTTCTTCACCTCTGGGGCTTCGGTACAAAGCCTGGCTTCCTTAAAAGCTTCCCACACTCCCACATCCCTTTGATAGTTTGTAACGAGTGCAATAAGGTACTTTCTTCAAATCTCACAACACTGTGATGCGTAAAAGAGCACAGGGAGCTTTGAGCATTAATAATTGAACATAGGAAATGGCAATATGCTTTTAGAGTGATGATTTTTTCCCCCTGTTTTCTTTTTCTTTGCAAAAAAATATCAGCTAAGTGACTATACTGTGTTAGTGTGCAGAAACCTTGCCAGCTACTTTGTTACAATGTGTTTGAAATAATCACACTTTGCTGTTGTTTGAATACATATCACTGTATTATTGCATAAAGGTAGCTGCTGACTGATATTAGTATGTAGTAAACGCAGCAGAAGCAGTACAAGGCTGTCACTTTTGTTAAAAAAAAAAGTTCTCCCACTGATGTTCAGAACATCAGTGGGAGATACCTAATTTAAATTCTTGTCAGACTGTCTGAAGTGGGCATGGCTTGATCCAGCAGAGGGCGCTCTAAGCTCAGTTCAACCTTAGATCCTCTTTGCCAACCAGTAATGCTAGTTTGGGCGGTGTGAGAGGGACCCAAAATATGCAGCTTACCATTATGGTCTTGCTGGCTAGCTATGAATGCCTGTGCATGGACACGCAGCAGACAGGAGAATCGGATGTTTGATTGCTGTTGCCAAGCAAGGCAAATTACTCTAACCACATTAAATACAGAAAAAAAAACAAAAACAAAAACAGAACGGCTATTTTAAAGTTTGGCCCAGCAGATGATCAATGCCTCTGTGCCAGCACAAATTTGGCATGCTCTCTCAGTCATTCTGACAAATGAACATGTGACATGCTAGATTGTCGTTAATTAAAAGTGACAGCTCTTGTGCCCAAATATATCCAATGTTGTCCCTCCTAACACTGCTGTGCAGAAACAGTGTGTTATATATTAAGATTTACATGCATCCCTGTTAATGTGACTGCACTGATAACAATGTGACCACACAGCTCAACATAAAGGTAAATAAAGGAAAGCTGAGTGACTTCACAAGTAAAACAGACTGAGTTTGGTTTTTGGCACAACCCACAACACAACTGTCGTGATTCCATTCCTTCTCCTAGCTGTGTAATATTGGTTATATTAAAATTAAGCTGTGGTTGACATGTTGTTAAAAATACTTTTAACACAAGCCAATCCAAGTGTGGGTGTACACAAGAACAAAAAACACAAGAGTTTCAGTGCTGATTCTGGATGTACCTGTATTCCTTCCCTGTCACTCTGACCTTTCGTCTAACCAGTCGTTGCTCTCTGTGCGCCACCTTCCAGTGCTTCTCCGCCACTCCCAACTTCCTCATTTAGAATCCGGGTTCCTGTTTTTCAAAAAAAACAAACAAAAAAAACACTTGAAGTTGTTAAAAATGTGGCAAACCTTTAGACCATATCACATGTACCAAAAAGTGACTAAAAAAGCCATAGACCGTCAACAAACTGGGGAAAAAAATGTTACAATTGTCACATTGTTTTATTTCATTTCCCTTAAAATGTACCATAGTCAAAAATAACAATATAAGGAAAAACATAATGTGGTCATCAGTACTAGTGTCATATCTGACCACACAAAAAAACAACAAACAATTCAAAGACAAGACAAGAAGCTGGTGCAGTGTGTTTGTAGCTGGATAGCAGTAGCTGCATCTCCAGTTCTTTTTAAAACTCCAGTGATCCTTTTTTTAAATTTTTTTTTTTTTTAAGAAAACATTATTCCCGTCACTGCATTGTCTGAACTTGAAATGGTTACTTCCCGGCCTCTGTGTAAGCACTCGGTCTGGCAACATGTACTTCAACATCATCCTAACTACAGTTTTAAGGCTCTTGAGCTGAAGTGGTTTGTTTTCCTCTCTATCATCCACAGATAAAACCCAACCTTCTGTCCTAGTGTTTACTTCAAAGTGAAAAAATCATACAGTAAATTATTTTTAACACTTTTACAGACTTTTAAACATATATACTTTGACAAACATAATCAAATGCAAGTAACATCAGAATAACGCATTCTTTATTGCCTGACTTAACGTCTGAGCTGGTGCTAGTTAAGAAGTGACTGGTACTAGTTAAGTAAAGTAAGTTTGTCTTCATATAACAAACAAACTCAAGGAATTAAATAAAGAAGAAAAAAATGATTGTGAGATCGATCATCTGACCTGGATTCAAACTACCTACAAACATATATGATTGGGACAAACATGTATTTGTGTAAAATTTGTGTAAAATTTGCAGTTTAGCGTCTACACATAAAACTTCCAGAGACCAACTTTCTGAACAGAACCAAAACTGTTTGTTCCATCAGGATTTACACTGAACCAAACTCAACCAAGGCAGTAAAGGCTCCAGGGTTGGTCAAACAGCAGTGACATCAGTGATTGGTGGAAAATAGATTTTTAACATTTTACCTAAAGTTTAAACTTATAAAAACACCAGCTCTTGCTTCACATTAATAATTTCCCTTAAGGCCATTTCTAATGAGAAGCAGTGAAAAAATACCATACGTTTGTCACTCACGTTGGCACCAAAATAGTTTTATAAAATCTCATTTGCATGGTGTTTGTACAGCATCGTCTCTGTCTCAGTCTCTCCCAATCAACCACCTAAAAGAGGGCGACATGGTTTTGATTGGTTTTAAGGCCTAGAAAATACCACACATCCTTCGTTTTTGTGCAGACCTGGAGCAAGAACTCTTTCTTTTTAAATTCCACAAGGGTTCTTACTGCAGCGCCTGGTGATGCTGGTGCTAATAAATGTCTGACAGCCTTTGAACACAACTGGCAGAACATCCTCCTGAATAAGAAAATGTTTCTTCATGTTGTGACCGTTGATTTTTTACAGGCATACATTAACGTAAGGCAAATGTAACGTTGGGAAAATGAGGCTCCTCCTCACTAGATTATTTTTTATAATTTTATTCTTGATAACTGTTCTATTCAACGTGATATTAACCTAGCCATGTAGACCATGACCCTTCAGGTAAATGTTTTTTGATGTAATCACTCAAGTGAGATTTAATCTCCCCCAGATTAACATTAAAACAAACAACAAACTAATCTTCTCGACTACCAGGGTTAGAATCGTGCAAAAAAAGTGAGATTCTAAAATATAATTTTCCTTTTTCAATTTCAATAAATTTCATTTGAACCCTACTCTTCCCCTTTTTCTGTATGTTAAAAAAGTTCATTTAAAAAAATTGTGAACCAGTTTGGTTCAGTCTCACCCTGACTCTCTCATTAAGGCAAATTAATAGTTTTTTTTTTCTTTTTTCTAATATGACGATGGTTGAGCATCCAGCAAAAGAACGATTTCACTAACAGCAATGATGATGTGCAAGGAAAATAAATACAACTAACCTTAACTGTGCTGCTTAGTATAAAAAAATGTTTTCAGTTCACATAGATTAGTTTTGAAAGCGAGAAATGTTGAAGGAACTTCACAAGACAAGACAAGGCAAAAAAAAAAGTTGTCTCTTCTCTCCGCTGTGGTTTCACCAAATCTTATTAAGCGCCTCTTTTCAAGAAGTCGCCGTTTGGGAAGAGTTAGAACCTCCATGATCTCAGACAGCACCACGGTGAACCTCGCATGTAAGGTAGGTGACCGTTTTTTATCCAAAAGATTGTTGTTTTTTGACAGAATACCCTAAAGTCTCAGTACAAGAAAAAGTTTAAGTGAGTGTTGACAGGACTGAGGTCCACACTGGGTCGTGTCAGTCTAAATCCACACCCCCTCAGTTTTTTTTTTCACACAATGTACTGGTAGATGTCTGCTTTGCCATGGTCTGGTTTTGCAAACGGGTTCAGCCAGGCCACAGAGAACGGGTGACCAAAAACCACCTTCATGTTCATCCATTTGGACTTTTTGGCCCATCGTCTTTCCTCCTTTTTCAGCTGCTCAATACCCTGCAGGGGTGAGATACGACACAAACACACAACTATAAACCAGAGGCAGAGTAACGCAAGTGATGCCTTCACTGTCCAGGGAAGATACAGACTGCGGCAACTTAGCAACAGCTACAAATGCCGTGTCCGAAAAGGATGGTAAACTTGAAGAAATAAGCTAACGCAGGCAAGTTAATATAGCTAAGGGATAAATAGCATATTTTGGATAACTTTCAGCTAATTTTGATCAAATGTGATTATTCTATCATTCAGTACATTTGAGTTAATTATTGCGGGATGTATTTATTAATTTCCACATATTTTTTCATAATTGGTCAGACTAACCTTTAGCTTTTAGCCTTTTTTTATTTCAGAAAATATATTTGCATTGTTTACATAGTTTATAAGCACTTTAACCAAAATGAGTAATTTTTTAAAATCACAATAAGATCTTTTTGATGGTGTCATTTCTACGACGACAAGCACTAGAGAGAGAGCTTTGAAGGACAGTCAACTCACCGTCTCATCTGAGCAGATGGAGTGGACCTGAGTTCCAAACATGACTGCAGTGAAGATCAAAAAGAGGAGACCTTCAAAGCAGAGGAGGATGAGGAGGATGACAGTGGCAGGTGGAGAGAAGTTACTGCACTCTGGCAAAAAAGAAATGATAACAACAAAGTGAGATAAATCTCACTCTGGCTGTTTGAGTAGTTGGATTTTGGTTGACCAGTGCAGTTGTTGCTGAATCCTGAAACAAAGCAGCGACTTCCACACTGTATTACTCACTTGACCAGTCTTCTTCAAAGCAAAAGACAAAATGCAACGCCACCATGACTAATGCATGTAAGGATATTAGAGCAATGTACATCTGAAAAACAGGAACCAGAGTTAAAAATACTGGGCTTTAGTGACGAGCTACTTCAGACAAACAGAATGAAGACGATTCTGACTTAGACTCACAGTGAAGAGCACAAAGTATTTCTGGTTGTTCTCCCCGACACAGTTGTTCACCCACGGACAGTGGTGGTCCATCTTTTTGATGCACCGCTTACAAACACTGGGAAAACAAACAGTGACACAATAATTAATGCAAGTTATGTGTTTCGTTTGGATTCTGTGGGAATAATTTATACAGAAAAGGTCAGTCCATATTTTTTAGCAATTCTTAAAGTTGCACAATAAATTACTTTTCACTTAGGCAAAGGAAACTATTTATTTATTTAAATAAAAAAATATATTTAGACTTATTTTAATCGATAAATCGGGCTTCTTTGATTGTACTTGATGAACAGTGTTTTTGGTGTTTGTTAATGTTTATCTGGTAGAACATCAGCAGGTAAATGACATAATGGTCATAATGATCTGAAAACATCACTCCAGTGTCCCTAGAGAAAGGTGCATCAGCCAAACAACAGAAAATCATAACATACTCAGAAAACTAAAGGCACTGACTCAGTTTACACTGATGCATCACTGATATAATTAAATTACTCTGTAGATGTTATTGCACTTTTTATGTTAAAGGCACTGACTCAGTTTACACTGATATAATTAAATTACTCTGTAGGTGTTATTGCACTTTTTATGCCCTTTGATCCCAGTGATGCCAGTGAGTAACCACAGAGGAAACTCCTCAGCATCGAGCTGCAGAGTCACCGGGGAAATGCTGCAAAAACATAAACAGTGAAGGAGAAGGGAACAAATGAGGAGAGAAAGTCCCAGAGGTAGAGCCTCTCCAGGACTCTCCTTGCTGCCCAAAGGTTTGTGCTGGCTTATTTTTATCGCACACACACACATTTACACACACACACACAAAGACAGTGCCGCAGTGTTGCACCTGCAGTGATGAGCTCTATCGGGTTTGATGCTGCAGCATTTGGGGCATTTGTAGACCACCTGTCCAGGTTTGAGCTGCAGGCTTTCGATGAATTCTTTAGTCGCGTTTCCTTTAGGTACGGCTCCCTGAAACACAAAGGAACAAGTAAATCAGAGCAAAAAATACAAGATTTGATATTATGTTGCTATAAATTAGCTACATTTTATATTTTATTTCTTTATTTTAAAACATTTATGAAAACAATTATAAAAAAATATTCTGGCAAATTAACTTACCTAACCTTAACCTCGATAGCTTTTGTATGTTTGTATGTATTTTAGCTGTACCACCATTTTGTGTTATGGATTAAATCCAATTTTTTTTATTTGCTATTTCATATACAGTAAATACAAATCCACAAACCACCGGTTCTGTAGTATATATAGTTGAGTTTTTTTAAGTAATTTAATCCAAATTTTAGCACATTTTGTAAGCTTTGACTGACCGGATCTGTGCACATGGCTCTGGCATGAGAGGCGAGGGCTAGGAAGGCCAGGCCGTTGAAGAGAACACCATTGAAGAGGCTGTAGGGCACGTTCTTCACTGGCATCAGCACCACAAACACCACCACAAACTCGGCGTAGAAAACCAGGAGCCAGGTGATGATGCCACACACAATGCCGCAGCCATCGCGGATGAACCACATGGTCCCTGCGGTGGTGCGTGGCGGTGGAGGGGCGCAGTGCTCCGGCTTCAGATAGCCAGCTTGCCGCTCTATGTCCCTGGTGCGGTGCGCCGGACTCATCCTACAACACCAGAAGCTCCAACCACATACTGTGAGGAAGAATAAAGAAAAATAATTAGGGTCAGATGGAGACAGAAAATGGTGGCATTTCTCTCTACAGTTTGGAAAGATACTGGATGATGTCATCAAGAAGCATTAGGTCAAAAACCTAAAATTAGACACTTTCTCACTAGGAATAAGGAAATAACCACCAAATTACACTTAGATCATTAAAGATTTGAGTAATTAATAAAAGGTTGGTTAAACAATGATCATTTTAATAAAAATGACTAAAACAATAAAATATATCATTAACTAATCATTCAATTTAATAATTTGTGTGAAAAAAAGCAACCATTTTCAGCAACCAGGTAACTTTGCCCATTTTTTTTAATACAACCAATATTATGTTTGTAGAAAAACTGTTTCATTCATTTCATGTGGTAATCATGTTCTGCCTACATTGAATTGGCAAACTAGTTTTACAAAATTGAGTTAAAATTTACACCCGAACGTGTGTGTGTGTTTTTAGGGCTTAAATAGTTCCATCTTACTATTATTTACTGCTACTATGAAAATAAATTCCAACAATTACAAACAATGGATTTACAGGTTATTGACAACGATGTTTACACCCTTTTAATATTACTCTGTTTGAGTTGTTTGTTTCCATGCATGAAACTTCTATCGAAACTTAGTAAAACTGTCAACAAACTGGTTACTGTTGTGTCAAAAGGAAACATTTTCCACCATTTCAACGTTCCCTTGGGACAGTTATCCTGTCATTCACAATTATCCGGTTTCCATGAAGTAATAAAGCTATAAACCTGTGGAGGAAGTAAGTGACAAGCTAGCAGCTAACAGGAAGCAGGGCACTTGGTCTTCCAATAGAACCCACACAGCATTTTAAGTCAATATAGTTAGAAATATAGTGTAATACAGTTGAAACGCTGCGTGTATGTATGGCCATGATATAATGCCTACCTCGCAGTCTCCACGCCTATGAACGACACTTTCACTAACTCCAAACTATTAGTTTGGCGACTTGACGAGGTTGAGGCGAACGACACTGAAAATTAGTCTCCCCTTCGCGGTTCCGTCTGGTCCTCCAGCACGAGAGGGAGACAGTGATTCGCGCCAATATCCAGCGGCTCCCCGGGGCTGCGCGTTTGGGCTGTCGCTGTAACCGACGCCAAAGTACTGACGGAGAATTGTTAAAGTTTTGTCGTGTGGGTGCGTCCTTTGGCTTAAGACTGACGACAAGGCCTCTAGTCAAGGAAGCTATACGGGCGGTGGGACAACAGAACCCCGCACAGCCAACCAGGAAGTCTCCTCTTTGCCTTCAGAGGGCCAAAGAGCCCTTCGCTGTGTCTGATAGGCAGCCTTCAGTTCAATAAATAAAAATCGAATGAATAAGTTAAATGCATCTATTATATGTAATTTTTAGTTTTTATATGGCAATTTTAAAAAATAAATTAACGTAATATACTTAAATAAACTTAAGCTACGAAATTAGATGTCGACTTTCGTTACGCTACATTTATTAATATAACTGTCAAAATAACAATAGCAGCAAAATTAAAAAGCAAAATCAATCCAAAATAATCGAACCAATTAAGTATTATTTAATATTATGTTAATAATTTGCCACAATGTTTACAAACCGACATAAGTATTCGAGAAATTAGTGGAAAATCAGAGTTAAAAGTTTTATATTTTATTTCCTGGTGACATGAAATTGTATTGTACCAGTTGTGAATTAATAACATTTTTTTGTTAAAATTTTTTGATTATGATACTGTCAATATTTTATCCGCAAACTTTAGTTTTGAAATACGGAAGTGCTGTTTTATGTCGTCTTTTGATGACGTAGAAAAGAAGGGACGCTTCCTCATGTCTGTAGTGTTTCATATTAATTATGGCAACAGTAAAAGTCAGTGAAGCTGAAAAGGTTTATATTTTACATGGTATACGCGTAAGTTTGCGACGTTTAATTTATTTAAAATTTCTTTAAATTCAAATTGTTTAATTGTGATGCTGCTAATGTGATTCTTCATTGAAGTTCTTAGCGCACGAAAATAGATTGGATTCATGCTAACATTCCCTGTTGTTGACATGTTTTCCGTCTTCAGGATGACTTGCGTGTGGACGGTAGAGGTTGTGAAGACTACAGACACATGGAAATAGAAACAGATGTGGTGTCGAACACTGACGGATCCGCAAAAGTGACTTTGGTAATCATTTTGCTCCGACTTGTATTTTAACAGTTTCCGTAGTGTAGTGGTTATCACGTTCGCCTCACACGCGAAAGGTCCCCGGTTCGAAACCGGGCGGAAACATATTATTGTTGTTGCTGCGACTCTCCATTCATCCGTACACGTTTCTTTTCGCACTTATTACATAGAATAACAAAAAACTTCTGAAATGATTCAATTGTAAAATGTAGTAAAATGACAAGTTGACAGATGCAGAGCTTTTTGTTTCTGTTATCCTTTAAAAGAAACCACATTTAAATGAAAACATTCTGCACAGGTCATTAGTATTTTAAATTTGATGTCATGTCCATCAAATGCAGGAAAATAAAGAAAATACTATTCAATATTTGAATCCATGCACCAGGTATTTATCAAATTGAAACCAATAATGTTTTAACAATAGTTGTGAACAGATTAGTCATCTTTAGTGTATGATCTAGTAAATCCATCTGTCGACACAGATTGATGAAGTTCTTTGTTTTCAATTATCCAACAGGGTCATACAGCGGTTCTAGTTGGAATTAAAGCTGAAATTGGAAAACCAAGACCCCTGGTGCCAGATGAAGGATATTTGGAATTCTTTGTTGACTGGTAGGTGCAGCGTCTGTCACCCTGAGAACTCTAAGCCATACAAAGTTTACATCTCGTAATTAATTGGAGCATAATTAACAATTTGGCTTCACAAGAGTGAAATATTTTTTTAGATTATGTATTTAAAACATTTTGTTAATTTTGCTGCCTTTTTTAAAAAATGCAAACATTTTAAAAACATTATTGTCAGGTTTTAGTCAATACCTGCCACTAGGAGGTAGAGTTGGGTTACCTCATGAAAGAGACATGTCTCCGTGAGTGTTGTAGTCTAAATTATAGACAAAGTGCAGACCTTGTCTTTTTTTTCCCTTCTCTTTATCATCAAAAGTTCAGCCAATGCCACTCCTGAATTTGAAGGAAGAGGAGGCGAGGAACTCGGGACGGAGCTGAGTAACACTTTGTACAAAGTCTTCAACAACAAGAACAGCATAGAGCTGAAAAGCCTGTGCATCAGTGCAGGAGAACACTGCTGGGTGCTGTATGTAGATGTGCTGGTGGGTGGTTCATCTACGTCACAACATTGTCAGCTAATCTTAATCAAAGCAGCTTATTAAAGGAACCAACGTCTCACACCTTTTTGATTCCACAGCTTCTTCAGTGTGATGGGAACTTGTACGACGCCATCTCAGTGGCCATTAAAGCCGCCCTGTTTAACACAAAGTAAGCCTTTGGTTTTATGGTATGATACTGTTCAATGAGCTACTTGTTGGTTTAAGCAAAAGTAAGCACACAGACTTTCTCCCACTTCACTGTAGAATTCCCAGAGTGCACATTTCTTCAGATGAAGAAGGGACTAAAGAAATCGAGCTGTCAGATGATCCGTACGACTGCATGAGGCTCGACGTATCAAATGTTCCTTGTATAGTGACCTTGTGCAAGGTGAGCTTACGTGCTTGTACTCTGAGGCTGCAGTTTTTCTAAACTCCATTGTTACCCTAGCACAAAAACATGACGTGGTGTTTGTTTCAACAGGTGGGTCACAGACATGTTGTGGATGCAACCCTGCAGGAGAAAGCGTGCTCTGTGGCCAGTCTGATCATCTCTGTCACACAAAAGGGCACAGTCACCTGCAGCAGGAAAGTGGGCGGAGGTAGTCTGGACCCAGAGAGTATCTTTGAAATGACAGAGGTGAGATTATCTCTCTGTTCCAAGCCACCTGGCTTCACCTCACCACAGCTGGCACATTAGCATAAAATAGTTTTCTTTTTAAAGTTACAGACACTGTGATAAAAAGGTGGTAAGAGATCACCTTGAACTATATGCATACATTTATCAAACTTTAATCTGTACTAGAATAAAATGTATGATTTTATTCTCATACAATTAGAGCTTTTTATTCATATTTTTAAGAACTTGTTTGATGGAAATACAGGCAGCATTTAGGGGGGAAGTTTGTCCTTTTGACATACCTGTGGATAAGGAGATGACTTTCCTTTAATTCCATACCATCAGTCAATTCAGTTAACGTTCATGAACTTGTTTTTTCATCTTTTCCAGGCAGGTAAACGGGTTGGAAAAGCTCTTCATGCTCCGCTCATGAACCTGCTGCAGCAGGAGGAGAGTTTGGGAAAGAAAAGACAGAAAGTTGGTTTCTTGGGTTAGGACTGTGCCTCAGTACCTACACTGTATATGTTCATGATCATTTGATTTTCTAATAAAATTTAAAATTTCTTGTGATTTATAAGCTGTAGTATGAAGTTTCTTACGGGAAAAGTCCAGCCTTTCTCTCTCCTTTTGTGTGTCCTTTTTCTTTGCCACGTGTCAATCTGGGACTGTGTGAAGCTCAAGTCTTACAGAGAGACCAGATGTGACTGGATCACATCTGGATCACTTCCACTCAGACAGTATTTGAATGTGTGTGTGTGCGCAGGCTGAGAACAGACAGGTCCAAAACAAATTCCTCCTCTGGTCCAAAGCTATCATTGCAGGCTGAAATATAAAATGCATAAAAATGTACATTTTGATACCAGTGACTTTACAGGTAATCAATAAAACACATTGGTTCTCCAGAACCACATCTTGTAATTTTTTTTCTTTTCAAATAATGGTAAAAAAAAAACAGCTTCCAAAGTCCTGTTTTGGCCTGTTTATAGGAAAGAATGTCTCCTCCAGGTTTTTTCTTTCAACACAGACTTTCATTGAAGGAAGGAACTAAACTGTTGCTAAGATTTTGGGCTTCTTTGCAACATATGAGTCAGTGTTGTTTATTTTTCTTTGGTACACTTTAATGAAAGCTTCTTTGAATTATGTCATTGTTGCTCCACACTGTCTGACCTCTGTTGAACAGACTGCATACCTGGCCCTGGTTCAACTCTGCTCCTCTACGTACCTCAGGTAATCCAGCTGACACCCGCACACAAACACAGATGCAGACATCACCCACTGTGGCTTCTGAGGTTAGATTGTTGTCCTTTCAAATGACAGTGTCCCACTCCAGTACTTTTCCCTGTTCTGAGTGTGAAGAGGGAGGGTGTAACATGGGGAGGTGGATATAAATTGGAAGCGTCCACGTTGAAACTCCTTCATTCAATAGGTCAAACAATGGCATTCAGAGGAGTGTGTGTGCTGCTGGGAGCTCTGCTGCTCGCCAACGTCTCATTTCAGCAGACTCTACCTAAGAAAAAGCCTCTCAAAAAAGGTATCTGGAGAATATGCATTGCTATGAACGACAGGTTATGGATCATGTGATGCACAGGAATCTAATTCATTTTTTAAATCAGACATCATCTTACAATCTTAGATTGCAATATTAAAATTTTTATGCCACCTTTGTGATCTGCTCAATGCTGTTTGGATCCAGATCCACCCAAAGATGCCGCCATAGAGGAGCTTCAGAAACAGATCAACGATATTGTGGAAGAGCTGAACCACCTGAAGGAGCGACAAGCCCTGCAGACAGGTAGAACTGAAGTTTGGAAACAGAATGTGCACTTTAATGTAATGTAATTAAAAATACTCTTTTTTTTCATCCTGAACTCTGTATTTACCCGAGTTATAATTTAGAGTGCCAAGGACATAATACATTTCGATTGATTACTGTCTAATTTATTATTATTATCTAAGCCATTAAAATTAGCATAGTAAAGAGGATTTTCATTAAAGAATTAAAAGTACATAGTACAAATAGAGAGCAAGACTGAAAAAAAACATACAGGAAAAGAGACTTTAATATATTTGTTTAATATATTTTTATATATTTATATGGTTAAAATGTAAACAAATTCGAGGCAAAATGATACCAAGTAATCCTAATGAGCTTAAAAACACAACTATTACAGTTTAGTAGGAAAATAATTTTTAAAAAAAACTAACTGTTGATAAAAACATGTCAAAGAGCTAAGGAATAAGCCAAGGATATGTACTGAAACGTCTAGCCAAAAGGTACCCATTTACAAAGAAATAAATATTATTTTTGAAACACTAGCTAATTTTCTTTGCTTCTTCCTAAAAAACTGTGGTCAATAAAACATTTTTTCACAGACCTACCGTGTTTTTATCAGTGATCCAGGGATGTCCTCTGTCCTACAACGTTCCAAACCACAGACAAATAAGAGCCTGATGTTTTAAGTTAAGCCTGCAGCTGTGAAAAAAAGAGAAACAAATTAACAGGTGGTTGAAATAGAGTAGTAAAAAAAAAAGCCAACCAATGCCTAAAGTGAAGGAACATACTGTAAGAAGGCGATTTGGGGCCAAATAGCCATGGAACTTGTATTTAGTTCCTAGTACTTGCAGTGGAAACATACCATATATATTTCCTGGCACTTTCCCTGGTTACACTGACTTTATACTGAACTCACATTTCTAATGGATGTGCCATAACATTCGATATTTCTCATCTTTTGACAGCTTAACAAATTGTTTATTCCCTAATAAGTCTGAAAAGAGATATTTTCATGGTTCAGCTTTGATTAAAAAAAATAAACACAGATGGGATACATGTGTAGTCTGTGAAACTCCACCTCCACATAAGGACGGCACAAGACCAATGTTTATCTGTTCTTTGGTCCAGAACACAGAATGTCTTCCAGTTGTTCCTGTGAATCATAAAAAAAAAAACTTGTGCAGATAAAAAACAATTTCCAACATTGCTGTGGTTCTGGTTGTCATATCCTGTCAAGAAAAGAAAAAGTGTTTTTGGAAAACATGTTCAAGGTACAGTACATACTCCATCACATTTTGTCTATTGCCTTTCCCTCTTTAGTCTGTTTAAAAGGTTTTAAAACCCATGGCAAGTGTTATCTGGCCGACCCTGTGAAGAAGCGCTACCACACTGCGAGTGAAGACTGTAACTCCCTGGGTGGCGTCCTGGGCACGCCAATGTCCAGCGGCGAGAACGACAAACTCAGAGAGTACATCCACCAGAGCGTCGGCCCAGATGAGCAGGTCTGGCTTGGCGTCAACGACATGATGACCGAGGGCACCTGGACAGACCAGCACGGAGTCAGCATCACGTTCAAAAACTGGGACACCACCAACTACCGGTCCCCGCAACCGGATGGAGGCGTATCCCAGAACTGTGTGGTCCTCTCTGGTTCTGCCAGTGGGAAGTGGTTTGACGAGAACTGTCGTGAGGAGAAGGCATCCGTCTGTCAGTTCAACATCGTTTGATCACATGTATCTCATAATAGACTCTGTGCATGGTCATAGCTGCTTTGTGTACTCATGATGCAATGCCTGCTATTTTTACTTTTTTTTTTTTACAAATTAATTTTAAAGCCAGTGGATCTCAATCTGGAACAAACTGACATTAGAGTCAAAGTTAGCACATGACAATACATGTTCTAAACTTAAATGTTAAAGAATTTTATAGATGAAGATGAAAGAAAAATATAATGTTCCTGCAATAAAAGAGAAGGTGCTGGCACCTTTCACAAAGTAAAAACTGGGCGTCTCAATTTTCAAGATTGCCACACCTCCACACGGCCACGCCACACTGGTTGAGAACCACTGGCTTTAAGCTTTTGCATACATTACATACACATAACTATTGTATGATAACTTAAAATGTAGACCAGACTCACCTAGAGCCAGAATAATGAGTAGTTTTGCATTTTTTACATTTTAATTTTTAATGAGATTATATCTGTGTTCTATTAGCAGTTTCTTTTGAAACCTAACACATATTCTTCTTCTCTTTTGTATTTTTAATGCTTTGTTAATAAAAGCATCTGATGCAAGTTTGTGAGAGAGAGTAATTTTGTATGTATTGATGGTGCATTTAGCCAAAAACAGGGCAAATATCCACCGTGATAAAAAAACTATTTCTGAGCCCTTTTTTGTTTCAGCTATGTCACTATGTTATACTGTCTCACTTCATGGTTACTTCGTAGTGTATTGTATCTGAAGTGCACATTCATAAACCTTAAATCTTACAACAGCTGTTGACACTTAGCTGCAACAAACATGATGCAACCTCGCAAAATCTGGCCAGTGGATTTTATTGTTTTCCTTGGTAAACACTGGCCTCAGCTCTGCAGTCCACACCTCTCTCTGCCCATTTTCATGGCTGAGGTTCCTGTGGTTGAAATTCTTTCACCATCCAAAACTCAAGAGGTCGGTTAAATGTCAGCACTTGTGTTTGTGTGTGAGAGGAGGTTGCAGTTATCCCAAGAATTTTAATTATTACTTTTAATTATACTATTCATACTGAGCCTCTTCCCTGGAATTTATTGAAAATAAAAACGTTATGCAGGCTAACAACAAAACATTAAAAAATACTATTTATACTAAGTATAAAAACAAATACCAGAGGTATTTGAACAGGTCATTTTTTACAACGCTGCTCCTAAACTCACATCACATGGTTTGACATAACACAGAGCAATATGTTTTGCCTTCCTGGTGAGACACACAATCATGTTGTAATGTTGGAAGAGCAAAACTGAAAAGAAAAATGAAATTATTCTAAATTTTTAGCTTTTACGCTAGACTAGGCTGCCAGGTGGATTCTGCAAGGGATTTTCTTTATATTTCTACTCTATGACATCCACGTCCTCCCAATGCTGGTCTGGAGCTAGAAATACTGAGTAGGGTTGCATCAGGGAGGGCATCCAGCCTTCAAATCATATGCAGATAATCCAAAGTCATGAGCCATTTCACAGGAGCAGCAAGAGTCTTATAGTCAGAATTCCAGCTAGATTGAATGAACATGAATGATGATGGAGTCAATCTCTTTGTCCTGATCGCTGTCAAAAGAAAAATAAAAAAGGGTAAAAAAAGAGAAATCCAAAATGTCGCACTCGAAAAGGAAATTGGCGCTTCCTCTGGGCCAGATAAAACCTAATCAAACTCGGAGTGCGTACCACTTACCACCGTGGCACAGAAGACATTCACATCAGCACAGACCAAAAATATTCGGTCCTCAAACCTGAGTAGAGTAACAGCCGTCCCCGGTCTGTCCACCGTCCTAACGCTCTACAAGGTCTCCTCTGTAATGGGTGGCTGTGGCTCCATGTCCACACCAGACAGCCGGATGGTGTTCATGTCTCCCGTGCTTTTGAACGTGTACAGTTCGTTATCCACCATCCTGCGGTCCTGGAAGCCCAGGCTGTCCTGCCTGTCGATGGGAGTGCGTGGACGGGAAGGAATAAAAGTCTCTGAAGGGTCCAGGAACGTATTGTACTGGTCCATTTCAGGATCCTCATCTGGTTCTTTGATCACCGGTAACTGTCCATCGCTGGGGCCCGTGAATGTCTGGTAGGAGTCGACCTGCATGCCATTGTAGCGGTCCTGGAGGCTGTCAGCGTAGCTGGAGTCAGTGAGCAGGTGCGTATACACCATGGTCTCATCTATGGAGGCGTAGACATGGGAATCGTTGTCAGATCGGCTCTTTGTGAAGTGTTGGTCACCTGGACGGAAGATGTTCCCTTTGCCAATGTAGATGGAAGACTCTTTGTCCTTTCTTTCTTTTTTCTTTTTCCTGTAAGAAATAAAATGAGGATGATTTTTCTACAAATATTACAGAGCGTGTACCAAAACAGAACATGTCGAGTATGTAGGAATATTACTGCAAATGTTATCAAACAATACAGGTAACTGAAGTGTTTTGTCTTCTTTTATTCAAAGTTAAATTGTTTTGAAATACATGTCAAGCTGCACTGTACATGTGTTTCAGAACAACTGTAGCATCACATCATCACTACACCTGGTTTAAAAATGACTGTAATTTTAGTCATTTACATGTTACTTTGACTATCCAAAAATCAATGCATCACTTGCATGCATGTCATCATCACTACACCTGGTTTAAAAATGTCTGTAATTTTAGTAATTTACATGTAACTTTGAATATCCAAAAATCAATGCATCACTTGTGCAAAATATTTTGAATGCATTGGCTGACAGTAACTCACAGATCAGTGTAGAACACCTGCTCCTATAGCACCCCCTAGAGCCACAGTGAAGTTTGTGATCACTGAAATATTTAAGGCCTTACAGTATTTACAAGCACTCTGGTGGGTTACATCTGTGGTGGAGGGGTTCGAGTATCCGAATGAACCTAGGAGCTATGTTGTCGGGGGCTTAATGCCCCTGGTAGGGTCTCCCAAGGCAAACAGGAAGTTTGCCGCAGTAATGCGGTCGCGGTATCGGTCCGTTTTGGTGAAGAAGGAGCTGAGCCGAAAGGCAAAGCTCTCGATTTACCAGTCGATCTACGTCCCTGCCCTCACCTATGCTCATGAGCTTTGGGTCATGACTGAAAGAACAATCAGATCCCGGATACAAGCGTAATAGTTGTTGACACTTACTTTGTGATGATGCATACCACAGCCAGGGCAATCAACAAAAGAACAAGCACACCTGCTAGCCCAAGGAGAATGGCCAAGAGATCTGCAGAAGAAAAAAGCTGAATTATGGGAGAACTCCTCTATCTGTTTATTAACAGAGAGATTTCTGTGTTCTGCATGAAAAAGATTCAAGCTGATGCATGCTCACCGTTTTTTTTCTGCAGGACAATTTTAGTAACTACAGCAAAGTGCTCCTCCTCTGGAATACAATTTGACATGTTGAGGTAGAAGCTGTACGGCACCAACAGCTTGTCCTGTGACGCCTCGTCCTCCCTGCGGCTCATCATCTCCTCCTCGTAGCCTAACATCCTCACCTTGATGGCTGTGTGTCGATCCTGGCACTTGGGCTGGGTGATGTTGGTGATCTGCATCTGTGCCTGGTACTGGCTGGGCAGCGAGACGATCCATGACACGGTAGAGAAGGGCCTCATGCCCAGGGGCCAGTTAGGAGTGGCCAGCAGCAGTGGGGCAGAAGGGTTAGGGGCTACTCTGTAAATAAAAGTTTCTAAAAAAAAAAAAGAAAAAAAAAAGAAAGACAAAAGTGTCAACAGCCCCACTGAGACAGAAATCTGTGGTACAACAGTGCCCCCATGTGGAAAATTAAGGTATACATGTTTAAGGTAGAGCAGACTGATGGAAACCGTAAACCAATCTTCTCTTAAATGGCCTAGTAAAACTTGAAGCCTGTAAAATTCACAATTTTTAAGCTGAAGAAAAAATAATTCAGATTAAAATTTTACATCAAATCACTAATATGATTTTCTTTACATGTTTCTAACTAAATTATCATTACCCAATTCATAAAAACCTCCATCAGCTGAAGTAAATTCATCTCTCACCAGGGATCTCCTGACTGAGGCTGATGTTTAGAAAAGCTCCGCTGTTTCTGCTGAGGTCGTTGGCTTTAGCTGTGACTGAGATGTTGGCGTGCGCCTGAATTTTCTGGATGTTTCCGTTATGGCAGAAGTCTCCTAGCGCAAATCCGTCCTTTTCAAAAACGTGCAGCGACGTTGACGGGTCACACTCCTGTCCAGGTAGGGACTGCTGCAGACTTCCTGTGGAAGACGCCAGGTCCAGGGTACTGTGTGAAGGTATGTCCAGGTGCCAGGTGAAGCTGTGGAGAGGCATCGGCAGACAGGAGACCATTTTGGGAACGACGAGGGAGCTGGAGGAGCACAACGATGCATTCTGGCACCCTGGGTATAATAAACATACAGACAATGTTAATAGTTACTACTGTCAAAGAAGAAACAATACTTAAATACTACATGATTGGTATTTGAGTAGATCTTGTTGATCTCACATTTAAATTAATTTGGTCAGACAAATATAATCAGAAAAGGGCAAGGACTTGGAAAAAAGAATAGGGGGCTTTTAATATTTAGCAGATTAAATAAATAATTAGAAACTGCGCAGGACTAACATTAAAAGAACACAGCTAAAATAAGAAGGAGAATAGGTAGAAATGCAGCAAAACTATTGCTGAGCAAGGCTAATAGCCAAGCTAATGGCCAAATATAGAAAAAATGTTACCAATAACTTCGCTGGCAGTCAGCCGCAGCTCTTCTTTAGGACAGTCCAGGAAGGACAGGGTGGCTGTGGTGCCTGCAGCCACGTTTATCTTCTCCTGAACCTCAGAGTTGATGCTCATCTCACAGTAAGGGTCGGAGCCCACTTTCTCTAGCTGCACGGAGACTTTCTGTTTGGTGAGATCCACCGTACACAGAACTGAGAGGAGTAAGGGGAAAAAAAGAAAAAGATCAGACAAAGAACTAGACATAATTGCACATTAAAGTGGTGGTCTTTACAGTCTACTACTGTTTTCTAGAATATTTTTCTAGAAATTAGGTTTGGACCCTGTACCTGGATGTCCACTCCTCATCACAGACACCCTGTAGTTCAAGGTCAGTCCCTGCAGCGTCCTGTTGGTCTCACAGTTCTTCAACAACATCTGGAAGTTTCCCTGCTGATGTGTGGGCTGGGGGTCAGTCAGGGTCAGTCTGTTCACTTTCTTGTCTGTTTTCTGGTATTCGACCTCTACTGCACCACTGAGACACTCTGGCACCGTATGATCCTGAAAACGCACGGTGTAGTTGTGCATCCCAGGAACCGTGATGTCCCACTGCATCTGCTGGTTATCAGGGAAGTCACCTGGATAGTTGGTTGTGATGAAGTCGGTGTCTGAAACACCTCGGGGTAAGTTGACTTTCACTATGGCAACCACTGCAGAGACAAGAATGCTGTGGTTAGAAAAAAGTACATGAAAAATATATTTATTTATATATAGCTTTTCTATTTAACCTATGCTACAATACTACTAACCTATTTTCTTGGCAAACACAGCTTTTGTGTTAGCCTCCATTAGCTAACTTTTATGATTATGATTAATTATAAATAAATTGACACCTACAAATATAAACTGTAGTACAAAAAAACTGTACTGTACAAAAAAACAAACTCACTGCTGGTTTCAGGGCCAACATGTAGTTTGAAGTCAACGGGGTCCATTTTTGTGTTCCCAGGAACCTGCAGAGAAACCCGACCCTTGTATTTTGCGAGTATCGTGGTCACGGTTCCACCTTTACAAAAGGTACCAACGATTGCACGCCCTGTGCGTAAATAGGTCACAAGGGAATACGTGTGCTCATCTGGACAAGTCTCCTCATTGGAAATCTGTCTCATCCCTGGTTCTGGGAAGTCCAGCTGAAAGGCTCGGGTTGAGACGACTTTCAGGTCCCAGGTGAAGGTACGGTTGAAATCTGGGAAAAGTGAGGACTCGGCCTGGACTATGTCTCCAGAACAGGAGGTTTCTGTGCAGTCTGGTTGTAAGAGAGTCAAAAAAGAACACATTTAAACACAAGTTATGTTTCTGGAGTTTATCATGATAGAAAATAATCTTCATACCAATCTCTCTGTTGATCTCCACGATGAAAATGTCCTGAGGTTGAGGGCAGGTGAACTCCACTGAGGTGTTTCGAGGTTCATTGATTCTTAAAAATCTGGGGTTACACACAGGTTTAGGGTCCTTTTTTATGCACACACTGCAGTCAGGTTCATTGGTTGTCCTGCTGACGATGATGATGGTGTTGGGGTCAGGGGTCACAGACATCGATCGACTGCCTGAAATGAAAGATGTGATTCGATGAAGGACTCAAACATGAGTTTAATAAAGGTTTAATTTATTACTAAATCTAAAATCATTTTAAAATACAAAAAACTAGCAAGAAGACGACTACAGTACAGCAAAATATTGTGGAAAATTAAAATATATATTAAAAACAAATTGCAGCGATAGAACAAATAAAACTTACGGTTTGCCAGATAGTAAAATTTTACAATTAAAAATGTATCCAGGATCATTTCTTTAAAAATTGTACATTTCAGCAGGGCTTTGTATCAACTTTACACAAATATACTGTTTGGCTGCTTGTATGTTTTATAAGCAAATGATTGGCTACTTCTTTTTTTTCAATAAAATACAGGAACTCACCTCTTGGTGCTGCTTTAGCGTTGAACATCGTCTGATCCAGTTCTCCATCTTTGGGCACTTCCATGACAATTGATGTGGGGCCGAGCAGATTCAGACTGGACACTTTACCACCACTGCAGTAACTGTACACTTTAACACTGCCGTCACTCCTGGTCGTACTCACAGACAACTGGTTTCCATCTTTGCACTTTTCTATTGCTGGAATCTCCTCGAGTCCAACAGCAGGAAAGTCTAGGGTCAACACAGTCCTTTCCGGGACACTAATGTCCCACCACAGGGACCGGCGAAAGTCCTTAAAGAGTTCAGGATCAGCTTCTGCTGCTGCTGGAGTGCAGGACGTCTTGGTGCATTCTGGGTAGAATTTTTTGTTTATATACATTAAGAGTAAAGTTGAAATTTTGACATTTTTCACAGATCCGACTAATTCCTGTTAATTTAATTTATTAAGTCAGAACCGTACTTGCTTATTGTTTAAAATCTGAATATTCTTTGCTCTCACCCATTCCCTTCTTGATCTTCACAATGTACATGTCCTGAGGTTTTGGGCAGCTGAACTCCAGGGAGTGTTTGTCAGCGTTGGTCAACATCTTGTGAGACGGACTACAGTCTGTTGTTGAGCCAACAGTTGTGCAGACCTCACACTCCAGACCGTCAGGATCCCGGTCCAGGATCAACACAGTGCTGGGATCAACGCTCACCTCCATCGTTCTGCCCTCTACGCAACAATAAGAAATACAGTTCATTTTCTTTCTATAATTCTAAATATAAACTGGTACACTTTCAACTTTAAACAACCGGTTATAATTATTTTTTATTTTTCAATTAAAGGAAAAATGCCAAAGGGTTTTTCTTACTTAATGGTCCAGCAGAGGCTTGAAACAGTATAGATTCCACCTTAACTGCCGCTTTGACTTGCAGAGACACGGTAGCCTGATCGGACAGGTCTAAACGTGTCACAGGACCTCCCCGACAGTACCGGGTCTGACCTCTGCTGCTGGTTTTCAAGGGGGTCACTAAATACTGAAACCCATTAGTGCAGGGCACCGACGTCTCCAGCAGTCCCTCACCCAGGATGTCCAGACTCACCACCGTCTTCTCTGGTGCCTTCAGCTCCCAGAGGAAGGTTCTGGGAAACTCGGTGAAGATGGACTGAGTGTCAACAGTGGAGGGGGTGCAGGAGTCTTTGGTACATTCTGGATTACAAATTAAGGGAATAAAAATGTAAGTTGAATTCTATTCATACAGTTATCAGTCATTAAGAAGACAATAGGAAAGTGATGAGCAAATTAAGGGAATAAAAATGTAAGTTGGATTCTATTCGTACAGTTATCATGAAGAAGACAATAGAAAAGTGATTTAGAGTTTGAATGCTAACGTGTTAGCTTAGAAGCTATGGTACAAAGTATAAACTCACCGATGGCCTGGGTGAAAGTCACAGTGTAGGATTTATCTACAGGCTCAGAGCATCTGAACAGCAGCTTGACTTCCTCTTCAGGTACCAATGTGAAGGAGGACTGACAGGAAGTGTCCGTGTCATTCACCCCGCTGACCGTACACACAGCACACTGATCTGAAGGCAACTCTGTGGACACTGTCACCGTCACACCTTTGTCCGATTTTACCACCGTCTGCAGGGATTCTGAGGACACAAAAGATTTCCCAGGAAACATTAGATCAAGAGTTAAGAATTAATTTGGAAAAAGCTTGAATTGACTTGATTAGATGACCCTATACTAGAACAGTTCTGTAGGTCAGAAGGAGAAAACAGTCAAACACTGAACAGATTCAAACTGAAGGATCATTTCATTGTTGTGGAATCTTCACCTTCGTGTTTATCTGATCTCTAATGCATTAGAAAAAAGTGGCTCTAATTTGCTTATAAATAGATTTAACAAAGACATTTGTTTTTCCCAAAACTAGTTACAAAGTCAATGTATTTGTATGACGAGAGGAGCAGTTGGTCCTCTGGGATTTAAAAAAAAAAAAGGAGAAAAACACGCGTAAGATGCCACCACACCAAAAAAAACGGGGGGGGGGGGAACCAAGCAAACCTAATACGACTCAGAGAGGTTTGGGCATTTAATTTAGAGTTACTGTGATATTCTTTTCACTACAGGCTCGAGAGGTTTGGGCATTTAATTTAGAGTTGCTGTGATATTCTTTTCACTACATTTGGTGGACCAGAATACCATGAAAGACATGCATGGACATCTAAACAGCATTAAATTGTCCTCTTGGGACTCATCACAGCTGTGGACATAACTAGGATGTGAGTCATTGTCTGACAAAAACCTAGTTCTGTATCACGTACACCCGAAAAGAAAGTCAATATAATTCAAGCAACATTTTAAAAACAGTAAAAAAAATTACACTTTGTGCTGTAATTAGTCGTACCACAGAAGTCGATGTAAACATACTGTAATTAGGAACCATAAGCGTTAGTTCAACCAAATGACACTGAGCGCACACACACACTGTGATGATTGAGCAAACACAGCGGTGACCATCATGGCCGACCACACGGACTGCAACAAAGCAGAGCAAATTGACCCAAGTCTGGTTGCAGTGACTGAGGAAGAACAACAGGAATAAGAAATGATTAAATAGAACTGTTAAATGGACAAGGGCTTAAACTTATATTCAAAATATAGGTCATTTTCACAAACCTATAAAGTCTGTCTATATCAATCCATTACAAATTGTATGTTTATACTATGTACTGTGTGTTATCTTGTTTGTGCAAAGTGGGTTTTTAAAAAAAAAAGTATAAATCGTTCAAGGAAATGGATTCCGCAACCACCTGTTTTCCCTCATTACCACCAGTGAAAATGTCACGGCAGTTTACAGTAACAATGCTGATTATTTACATATAATGTTGACTTCTACCACGTGACAGCTAACCGTTAGCGTCTGAGAGTGACGTCACTGGGTTCAAGCGATACAAGATAACAAATACACAAAAAGTAGGCTACAACATTTGAAATTGATCATGACGTCACCTACCGCGAGCATCATAAGCCCACACACCGCTCAGCCAATCAGAAAAAAAGACATTTTTATGTTGTTAGGCTGTAAACATTGGACGAACTCTAAACAGCCTGTTTGAAAAGACAAATATTTGAGTTCTCAAGGTGGAGACCAAAAATACATTCTTTAAGAAGTAACTTGTTGTTTACAGTCGTCAGCTTTGACGAAGTTCAGATGCAGTTTTGAAGCCATTTCAATTAAATTCAAGCATTTGAAAATTATTCAAGCACCTACATGAAGTAATTAAAGATACTTTAATTTGAAAATAATATTTTATCTTTGCTATGATTTTCGAGTCCCCCGTCACAGGCGGTCCAGCGGATGCTCGGCTCAGCAGCAGATTGCCGGTCAATCATTAATGGAGCTCTGGTGACTTCATGCCTCCAGGAAGCCCCGCACAAATGCCCTCATAAACTTTTGAAAAATGGAGGTCTGGCAGTGAAAGCTGGGAGTTTTCTCTGCTCAGAATGACACTGGAAATGGTCCGCAGTCTATTTTCTCCCCCCCAGTTTAAATCAATATGATACGATTAAAAACCCCGCAAAAGCCCTTAATGATGTCGATAAATGACTCAGCCCTTCTTTGGAAAATCATCACTGCTTTATTGGAGCTCTATCCCAGCTTAAACCACTGCTACAGGATCTGGAGCACATTTAAAATGGGCTCACGAGCACATTATTTCGTTTTCCTTTAAAAAATAAGTGTGTAATAGTTCGAATTTCAAGCAGCAGTTTCAACAAATAACATACGGACATGATGAGGGGTTTTGTTTGTTTGGCTTTTTTTTGGCTAACGTTTGGCTAATTTTCTGGAACTCTCTCACCTGCTGAGACCAGAACTGTCAAAAGCCAAAGTCCGAGGAACTCGTGCGCCTCCAGAAGCCGCATTTTCAGTCAAGGACGCTTCGAATTCCGTTCAAATCGATGGTTACTTGAGGGGGATACGGATAAAAAAAAAGAAGAAATTATTTCTCCCAAATCCAGCGCTGCATTTGGAGTTGACAGCTACTTCCTGCTCCACATTCGTCGTGCGCAACAGAAACGCGGCGCATCGGAGGGCGTGGTGCGCAGCTCACAGGTGGTTTACGGTTACCTGTTCAAACTTGACGGGTTAGCGCTAAGGTCCTGGATCAGCCAAAAAAAAAATTAATACATTTTTTAAAAAAACAGTGTAGAATACGTAAAAAAATGTGGAGTGGTATTAAAGAGAGGAGACCTCCAGCCATTCCCTTTACACTGTGTCACAGCGGGCGCCCCATTTCAGCCCGGAACATGCCGAGGATTGTTGGCACGATGTCCTCCCTGTTTCCCATCCCAGAAACAAGGCAGAGCAGGGTGTGGAAGCAGACCTTTTAAGACAGACCAGGACTATTGATGCGTTTTTTCTTCCTATAATTCGCAGTGACGTGTTAAATTAAATATGTATTATTCCCTAATGTAGCGCAGTGACGAACGCATGACAGTAATACCGATTAATTTGTAGGATTAATCTTAGTCTTTGTGCAAATTTCTTAGCTATATTGTGATAAATGTAAGCCATAGCAGTGCTTTGTAATCTTTTTGATTGTATTTTTTACCTAATCTTTACAGATTTTATGTTATTCTTTTAATCTACGTTTATACTTTTTCTTTTCTCTCAGTGTACAGCTGAGTACATAGATAATTCTTCCCTATTGGTTGAGTCATTTTGGCACTAATTAAATGGTCTAAATGACTTTCAAGCCCTACTTCATACACACCTGACATAGGGGACGGATGATTTAATACCAATATCTTGTTGCACAAATGAATGAAGTTAATAAAAGGAGACAAAATGCACGACCTGCGTTAGCATGATAGCTTTTACAGATTTTGACAAAGGAGATCAGACTTAATTCACACCACACACATGTGGTCTGGTCGTGGAAGTGATGCTAAAAGTGTGTTCATGAGCCTGTGTGAAATCACATGCAGGACTGTATTTGGGAATAACACTCCCGTTCCCTCCTGCCTCCACACGCCTGATGACATTCCTGCAGTGAAACATACCTGAGGGCAGTTGCCACTTTCATACAAACACTTGTCCTCCCGTGTTTGAACCATTCAGCTCTACGTTGCATCACAGATACCTCTGTTAAAGTCCATTTAATCTGATAATAAACTTGAAGAACCAGAGCCTGAAGGCTGACGTTGCCTCAGTTTGACCCACTTTTGTCCCACTCTTATTTATTATGAACTTTCTGTTGTTAACTGTTTTTAGATCACCCTCAACACACACACGCATGTTCACACACACAATCCAGCATCAGTGACACCACTGACTGACTGACTGTTTTTTGCTGAACCAGTCTGACAGCCTGCAGAGTGGGCGGTAGTGTGGTGGTGATCTTAGGCTGCTTCTCCCACTGTGGTGTGTGTGTGTGTGTGCGTGTTAACAAAGAAGCTCAGTGAAGAATCAGCAGCTGTCTGACCCCCTCCCACCCCCCACCATCCTCCTCTTCCTGTGTATCTGAGTGAGTGCAGCCAAACATTTGCTGCATGTAATGGACCACGGGAGTCGACGTTTGCAGCCGACTGGTTTGACTGTTTATGCTTAAGGCTAAAATATACAGGCTGTAAATGTGGGTCACACGTCTTTTCACTGACAAGGATATGAAAAAAACATATCCTAAAATATTCATAGAAACCCTGAAATGTCAATTTTAAACACTGGCTAGAGATTTATAACATTTTTTAAAATGTAGTTTTCTTCATTTTCAATATATTGATATATTAAATTTATGTACATTTTTGTGAATAAACTGTAATAATTGAACTGGGTTAACTTTTTAGGTTAATTTTTAGAAACATGTCTCCTCTAAAAATAAAATAACATAGTTTTAAAATAGTTAACAATGTCCCAGTATATATATATATATATGTATATACTGTACATATTGTGAACTGGGTCAAATAGTATGTAGTAGATCAGCATAAAGATATTTGGGAACCAGTCTTTTAGCCACAGTCTATTTTCCTCAGAAGTAAAATCTTACACAGTGATTACATCTGCCTCTTGACCTCCTTTTATTTGAGTCATGTCTTTGGACCCAAAAAGCACCTGAATGCAACTGCCGTAAACTCAGATATATAGTACATCAGCTCGTCTTACAGCTGTCTGCGCTGCACATATAATTAGACTCCAGACAGTCGTAGTGGGAGCTACAGTGGGAGCAGACAGCTGAGGAACATATAGAGTGAGTGGAAGATGGAGCAGTGTTATGGTGGCAGTCTGTGCTTCGGTGAGGCAGGAACACACTCCACATGTCCTCGTCCAGCGTGTTTGTGTTTCTTATTTACACTCAGTTGTCACTGAATGAAGTCGTGGTTTCACTGTAAACACTTTGTGTTTCTTGTGTGGACTGTGTTGTGTTTATGCTCAGGGATCTGTGTGAGATGCAGGAGAGCAGTGATCGGTACAGGGAGAGGCTGCAGGGCGCTGGGACTTCTGTTCCATGTCACTTGTTTCACGTGCAGCCTTTGTTGTGAGTCTTTTTAATGTGACTGTAAAAGGTTCAAATCCCATGGAAAAACATGCAATAGAAATTATTCATAACAACAACTATTATTACAAATACCTGTGTTTCAGAACTGTTTTGCAACTAAGCCAAAAATTGAGGGACTTAATTAAAAAACTTTCTTTATAATGAAAAAAGTCTTTAAAAACATTCCAAATATCCTGTGATGTTACAATGAACATGACACAATCTTCAATGTTGACTTTTTTTAGTTTTCTTGTCATTGTTTTGTCTTGTTTTGTTTCTATATTTTATTTGCTTCACTTTTCTTTATGTTCAGATAAACAGCTTGTTGGAAAACCGTTTTATTCGGCGTCAGGAGAGATCTACTGTGAAAAAGACTTTTTGGTGAGCATATATGAGTTTGAAGGTGAATATATACGTATCTTAAGTTTTAATAAAAGTCCATTTCACTCAAACTCTAATCAATGCTGTGAAGTGGAATAAACACATGACCTGGTTCTACTGCAGTACTCGGGGGTTTATCCCTCCCCAGAAGTGTGCAGCAGCTGTGGGCATCTGATACCAGACATGGTGAGTCAGCATCCCAGCAGTGCATGTTTGTTACTGTGATGCTCACTGTTCTACAATGTTATAAAGAGATGCATAATTTGCACCATCAGGTTCTTCAGGCCCGTGGGAAGTCCTACCATCCTTCCTGTTTCCGCTGCATCGTCTGCAGAGAGAGTCTGGAGGGTCAGCCCTTCACTGTGGACGCAGAAAACAGAGTGTACTGTGTCAGCGACTACCACAGGTGAACCCTTTGATTCTCACCACAGAGAAGAGATTGAACTCTAAATCCTGTCAGACAGGCTGCTGTGACGTAGCAGTCACACCCAGAATCACTTCACTTCTCAGTTTCTCTCTCTCTGTGGTTTCAGGGTCAAGGCCCCCTACTGTGAAGCCTGCAGATTACCAATACTGCCGAGTGAGGTCAGCTCAGACTACATGGAAATATTATCGTTTATGTATACATTTTAGTTAAAAGCATTTTCTCGATTTCTGTTTTTGTTTTAGGGATCTTCAGAATCCATCCGAGTGGTTTCATGTGACAGAAATTACCACGTGGAGTGCTACAATGGAGAAGTTCACCTCATTTAGGGAAAAAGAAAATAGATAAATCTCTTAGAGTAAACTGGTTTAAACGAATATGAAACTGAAGTATAAAGTAGTTTAGCAGGAATCCACACCAATAAACACCATGTAAATAAAGACTATGTGCAATGTTGAATTTTTGAGGGTTTTATTTTCATATTCACTGTGACATGTGACACATTTAATGTGATAACGACTTTTGTTTGTTTGAGAGAGCAACAAATTAAATATTTTATTTGAGGTTAAAAAATAGTCCGTATAACGAGTAAAACGCTCACCTGTCATTGTGTACTTTTTTTCTCGATATGCGTTCATTTTATTTGTGGGATTCTACCGCCATCGTGTGTCCACAGTCGGTACTGACCCTGACACCCCCTCCCGGAAGAAAGCGCCACGGAGGAATTTGCCAAATGAAGAGATAGGATGATTGAAATGGCGTCAGTCACTATACGTGGCTGCGCCTTCGGCGCTGTGACTCTGCTGAACTTTGCGTTTGTTTTTATTTCCGGCGCGGACTTTATTCACTTTATATCATTCAAAACCATATACTACAACATCACAGGAGAGACGATACTGTGTCAAGGTGATTATAGTAGTTTATGTTTGTTTTCTTCCTTGAGCGGATACCACGGTCTTCCTCTGGTTGCAGGAACAAAGTAATATGATAAGATGTGGCATTTAAGGTGGTATTAATGTTGTAACAAGGTCAATTCCATATTATACGCAAACATTCAGTCGATGTTTATGTTATTTATTAATCTGTTGCACCATAAGTAATATAATAAGTGTGACATAAAAATACATCCTGTGAATGAATGTTTATTAACAGACCACGCCTTTCGACACACAACTGCCCGGCTAGCTCAGTCGGTAGAGCATGAGACTCTTAATCTCAGGGTCGTGGGTTCGAGCCCCACGTTGGGCGACACGTTTTTGTCTGAAAAACATGTTTGGATACTTTTTTCCGATAGATTGAAGACTTTTATAAGATACTTTTCTGTAGCATTCTGGTAAATTCTAACCAGTAGTTTAACCATGTTGTGTTCAAGTCAACATTATGAAGACTTCTGGTCAATAAGTTAGTAATACTAATATAATACAATATCATATAAACAGTACTATTAAAAAACTGTAAAAACATATATATAAATAAGCAGTATATTAATAACAGCAACAATAATACATTTAAAAATATGTGCAACAAAGTAAAACACTATGACAGAGAAGCAATATAGTAAATATATAATATAATAAATATTTGTTTTGACTGAGGACATGCCTGTGTTTCAGAAAGGTATTTGATTTAGTTATTTATATTCCTTAAAACTGTCTGAACCATATATACTTTCTCCCCCGGTTGGTGCCTGAACCTCAGACTCCATCCCGTGGTCTGCGGCCCTGCAGGATGCCTCTGTCCTCCGGTCTGTAGCTGTGGATGTTGCTCTGCTGGGTCTGTTCATCGTACAGCACAGTCTGCTGGCCTGGTCACCTGTCAAAAAGGTTCTGCAGTCAGCGCTGGGTTCATTGAACAGGACATTTTACTGCTTCACCACCGCGCTGGCTCTACAGGTACAACAAGGTCCTCCACCCAACGTTTGACCACTGCAGTAATAAATACATTCTAATTTTGGCCTTGTTTTTTTTTTCCTGGGGTAGATCCTAATGAGATGTTGGCAGCCTGTGACTAGTGCCCCCTGTCTGTGGTCAGTGCGTCATGCACCGTGGAGTGTGTGGTTCCCTCTGCTCTGTTTCACTTTGCACTTCCTGTGCTGGGCCATCATCTGCAGCATCCTGTTGATCTTCGATTATCCAGAGCTGCTGGGCATCAAGCAGGTAACCATAGAATCACCAGTCGCAGATGACAGTATGTAATACAGTATGACATAATGCAAAGCTAACATTTAGCTGTTACTACAGTTTTAGCTATTTGTTGTTGTTCTCACTGCTTTGCTGACTTTTTTTGTTGTTTTGGCTAATGTTGGCTAATATTTCAGTATTTTTGGTTTTAGTTAATAAACCATTTTATGACTTTTATCCTATGACTAATCCTGTTTATATGAGGTTATTCTTTCCTCTTGTTGCTGTAGGTAACACTAAGTTTGCTATTTTATTTTATTTTTCTGGTGAATCTGGGGTAACCGCTGCTAACCAGGCAAATGTTAGCATCCAGGTTTGTGTTAACTAACTCTCTTGATGCTGACAGGTTTATTACGAGTTCCTGGGACTAGGAGAGCCCGTGTCCTACAAGTCAGCCCCTGCTCAGCGTTTCCTGTCTCACCTGCGCCACCCAGTGTGCCTGGAGCTGGCCGTGGTGCTGTGGTTCCTGCCTGCACTGTCATTGGACCGACTGCTGCTAGCTGGGTCTCTGTCCACCTACCTAGCTGTCGCCCACTCTCTGGACAAACAGGATTTAGCATACCTCTGCGTCCAGATTAAGAGCAAAGTGCAGCTCCTGGCTGAGCCACAGCAGGGGGGCGCTGACGCCACCAACTGGACCCACAAGGAGAAGTGATATTAATGTGTCTTTTTTTTTTAATGTAGAATTGTCCGTTACTGCTATTATTAACACAAACCAGACACTGATAATGCACGGGATTACACCACTGTATTCATTTCTGCTTCTGCAAAATGAAACTCAATCTGAGTGAAATATTTTTGAAACAATATTCAGACTTTTATGTCCACTGCATATGAACTTTTATAGAGAATATTTCATTTAAAAAATATATTTTTACACCAGAAATGTGTGATTTACACCAATTTCTGAAAATAGTAAGATTTAAGAGTTAATATTAAAATTCCTACCATTCAATATATAATAAGCCTTTCTTTAAATTTTTTGTACACATGTATTTCAAAAAGAACTGTCCATGGAAACGAATATTAAAATTTCACACTAATAAACACTGTCACTTGGTGGTGAATAAAGGGGCAGAGGTGAGAGAGAGGGGGAGAGAGAGTGAGTGTGTGTGTGTGTGATCGTGTGCTGAGGAAGATTCCTGGATGATCAGAAGTCACAGATATAGAAACGGCAACAAACGTTAACGTTCCACTGTGACGTGTTTCTCCTTCATCCTTGACGCCTCCTTTCTCCTCCTTAACCACCGCCTCTTCTCCAATCACTTCCTGCTACATGCAGGGATAAGACAAGGAGATAAAGGGGGTGGGCAGGGGGAGGTGGGTGGGGTCAAGGTAGGGATGAATGGTCAGGCAGACGGCCATGCTCTTTAAACACCTTTTTTTTAGGTCTGACAATATGGTGCGAGTCCCTAAATACTCCTGAGGGAGTTTAATGGGGTTATGGGATTAGAGTGGAGTGTTGCTGTTGCTGCTGCTGCTGCTGCTGCTGCTTCTGTTGCTGTTGCTGCTGCTGAGACGTAAAAACATTTACTACTACAGGGACCAGGATTTCGTCATGTTCTCTCATCTACAGTCAGGTCACCGCCGGAATATATTTGATTGACGTTGTCTTTTAGTGTTTTTATTTATTGGATGTAAAATTTTCTACGAGGCTTTTGCTCCACGCAGACAAGCGGCGATGACATCAGTTCTCTCTGAGTGGATTTGAAAATATCTGGGGCAGAATATTTGGTTGTTTGGTGAGTTGAATAATTTTCTGTTTAGAAATGACACAAAAAATAACATACAGCAACATTTCCAAACAGCAGTAGCTCCTAAGCTTAATTCCATGCAAACATTTAAAATGTATACACAACACATTTTGTCTCCCGTTAAGTTGCATTACTGCCACCTACAGGATTCATTTGTCACTGTTAAATAATTCCAACTAGAAACATCCCTAACACTTGTATAATAAAGGCAGAACGTTGTATCTAAGGTGATCACATTTGTTTTGTTTTTTTTCTAGGACCAGTGATTTTTGTGTCCACAGGGACCAGCAGCAATATTTCACCTCAAAGTTACATTATGTCTGTCTCCTCTCTGCCGGAATGGAAGCAAGTTTTGCTGGAGAAGAAGAGGCGAGAGGAGGAGCAGCGAGAGAGGAGGGAAAAAGAGGAGGAGGAAAAACTGGCCAGCATGCCGGCCTGGAAGAGAGGGATCATCCAGAGGAGGAAGGCAAAGCAGGACGGCAGTGAACAAGAGAGAGACATCCTTCTCCTGCAGGTGGACGTCAGGTCAACTCCCACTGAGAGCGACAGTGACAGCTCTGTAACAGTTAATCTGGGGAGTGAGCTGTCACTGAGTCCTGATCCTGGACAGTGGGCGGATGCAGACCCCAAATCAGTGAGCGAGGTGTCTGTGGAAACTATAGTTCCCCTGCATGAAAACCCTTTTATCCGCACACAGTACGCATGGAGGAAGGTCAGGGACACGGATGGAGAGGTTAAGGAAAAGGAAAAGGACAAAATATTCCCAAAATATCAAGATGGAGAGCTGGAGGTCAAGAGGTTCAGAGATGTAAGTGAAGGACGGGACCAGGAGAGAAGCAGGGACTGGAGTCAGAGAGATAACAGCAGAGACGGATGGGAAAATGTTAAATGTCAGAGGAAGAACTCGGTTAAAGATGCAGAGGAGGAAGTACAATTCCTGAATGTTAACAAAGACGACGAGGAACGAGACCTGGATTCACCGTCTCTATCATGTTCTCCCCTCGTTCCGCATCTGCAAACCATCCGTGCTGAAAATATCATCATCATTGAACAGGACAGACAAAGAAATGAAAAAGGAAGAGGGAATTGGAGGGAAGAGGAGAGGAAGAGACCGGAGGAGGAGCACGTGGGAAAGAAAGGGATGAAGAAGAACCTGAAGGAACTCCTGGGTGGAGAAGGAAGTGTCACTGAGATTCAAGCCTCTGAGGTTCTGATTATAAAGCCCTCTGGAAAAAGAAGCACAAGTGGGACGGAAGAAGAGAGTCGAGAATCAAAGATGGAGTGTAACGGCCGAGAACTCCGCACAGATATGTCCTGGATTAAATGGAGAGACAGGCCGTGGGGCCAGACCATCGTCACCAGAGAAGACAATCACAGCTCAGAGGACGATGTGTTTGTCGAGAGGGGAGGGAGGGTGAGTCAGCTGCTGAGTAAGTTTGGGGAGCATCGGCCGCCAACTCGTTCCAAAAGCTCTGAAAACTTCCTCCGACACGTTGGTAGAAAATACTCAGGAGGTGAAGAAGACCAAGAATGGGAGACGAGGCGTACAGAGGACAGAAGTACGGTCCTGAAAGGTCTCCCCAAAAGGTCCTTCAGCTTCTGCGATAGAGTCATCTGCACGAGAGAGAAGGGTTTAGATAACGAAGGAAAGACAGCGCCCCCATTGGCAAAGCATTTGGATAAAGAAAGGTTTGGAAGGTGTCGTGATAAATGGGTGAAAAATATAGATAACGAGTCCCTGCAGAGCAGACGGGAGGCGCACGCACACACCTTCGTCCAAGACAGGTTTGAAGTTAGGAGAGTGGAGTGTAGTGATGATGGCGTTACAGAGATGACAGGCACATGTACCGAAGACCAGGGCTTCACTGTGGCAACTGTCAAAAACACAGAAGGAGTTGCATTTGCAAGAAGAGTAGTGATTAGGCAGGGGGCGAGAGGGGCAAGTGAGAGAGGAGCGAAGCAAGAGACGGGCGAGAAATGTTTAGGAAGGAGGTCGAGTGGAGAAAAGGAAGAACAAATAAATGTTTTTTACAGAAATAATTTTGTTTTAGGAGATGGTTTTGAAAACACCAAGTCTCCTAACGATCTCCACAGTTTGGTCCAGGCTGCATCGACAGACACCGTGAGTCCACTGACCGCTGCTGGAGGTCACCACAGACACACATCGGCCTTCACTGATTTGCAGGCTCCAGGCCGCCACCTAGTGTCAGAGTGGAGTGGAGCCTGTCGAGGCTCATCTGTTCTGTCCCAGCACACTGAGGAACTGATCAATAAAATAGAAAAAATAGGAGAAACAACTGTTTATGGCAACACAAGAGGAGAAAAGACCCACAAAGAGTTCACTGAGCAGGAAGGACATTACGGTGACGTTGGATCACTGCCGTCTCCAAAACAGATGGCACCTCTTGAAATACAAATCCCTAGGACTGTGTTTTACGTTGCAGACGAAATGGCAGCGGGTCAAATGAGGGACGGACAGGGGGTTCAGAGGAGGGACAGTTGGAGGATTGGGAAGCCCTTGAGTCGCATCGAGTCCCTTCGAGAGAAAATTAGACAACGGGAGCTGGAGAGGCAGAAGCAGAGGGAGACGGATGGAGAAGCGGAGATCAGTGACACTCAGGCAGCAGGGCCAAGGGTTGATGGGAGGAGAGCAGAAATAGAGGAAGAGAGAGAAGCTGCAGCTAACACGCGGAAGAAGCTGCCAGAGGCCGATACACTCCAGGAAGACGCAGCAGCTCAGACATCCACGGACGCGTTTGACGTCAGACAGGAAGTGTTGAAAACCTGCCCTCAGCTTCCTGTTACTGTCCCACAGTCACAAGCTGTCAGAGGAGAGGAAGTAACAAATAGGTACACCACCACCACCACTGCTGCTGCTGCTGCTGCTACTGCTGCTGCTGAAGATTTCTCTGACAACTCTGAGATATCTGACGATGAGGACGACCTGCTGGAACATGACACAGAACAGCTGAGAAGCCAACACGACAGTGAAGAAGAAGACAAAGAAGAAGACGAAGAAGAAGACGAAGAAGAAGACGAAGAAGAGGAAGAAGAAGAAGAAGAAGACGAAGAAGAAGACAAAGAAGAAGACGAGGAGGAGATAGAAATACAGCTGTCAGAAGAGGAGGACAGGGAGGAACACACATCGGTTTTTGACCCCACAGAACCTCTGTCCTCGTCTCCTCCTTACCCAGACTCCCTCACAGCAATGAGTAGGATCTACAACCTGGAAACTGTTGGCTCCAGGACAGGTTTGTGTCTGAGAGACAGGACTGTGGACATCTCACCGGTGCACCTTGTAAAAGTCACACCTCACATATCAAAGGCACAGGAAGGGGGCGCAGACGTCTGTAATGTTCAGAGGATACAAACGCGGATAGAACAGCTCCGGCTCAAAGACCAGGAGACGCTGAAGTCCAGTTCTTTACCCAACCATGTTGTGAGGGACAGAGGGACCAGATGGAATCAAAGTGCCAAAGGAGTGTTAACGCCACAGGTACAAGACGACGCTGCGAGTCAGTCGGAGTCCAACTGTAAAACGTCTCTCCATCGAGTTTGTTCTCCCACGTCCCATCTCAAACAAACCATCACCGTTGGCCCCTCGTTCCACAGGAGCCAATCTCCAGAGAACTCTCTCAAACCCACAGACTGTGGCCCAACGCCGGCTTCATCCCCAAACCTCCAATCTCCTTCACAATCACGCAGTGCCTCTCCATCTCCGAATCCATCGCCCGTTCTTTTCTCCATCAGGAGTTCCTCTGGAGGCCAGGTGAGGCGAGGCACCACCT